CAGGCGGAACGAAAGCGACAATCGTCGGCGTGGACGAAGACGGAGACCTTCCTGTCTTCACCGACGATGGGAAGACGATGGTTACCTGATGCAGCATGTGGCTGCAAGTTCGGGAACGGCAGTGTGGACCACGCATCCCAACCAGTCCAACATTGCAACTGCAGAAATCGGACGTCCAAACAACATCGAACTTAACTATCAACTCATTTGCAAAGTCTTCCAATGTGTTGTTGCAGATCCGTTGGATACTTTCTAGGAGCACTAGTAGAGGTTTTGCATTCTGAGTCTGTTGTCAATATGCGAATGTTATTGTAGTGACACAAAAATATCAAGCACATTGGTAGAGCATTGTGCCATTCCGCGTAGTTGTACATGTACGAGTTCCATCCAACTGCACAATTGGATTCGTTCGGAATTACGCAGTGGGGACAATGATCAGATAGTAAGACATAGTTGACATAGTAAGACAGTGTAAGTGTAAGACTCAACATGGGACTGATAGATGTGGTTCAGTCTTGGCTGCCGACATTGCCAGCATTTGCTGTTCTTCCGAACTCTTCCTGCCCGGCTCAGATTTTCTATGCAAAGAATTGCCGGAAGGCAATCAGTGTTGGAGACCGGGTCTTCAACACCAGGAGAGAAGAAGTGGCCGAAGTCATTGGCTTCGACCACATGGGTGCGCATCCGTTTGTTGGAACGTGGGGGCCAGGAGCGGACGGGTTCCAAATCTTGGATTGAATCAGAAAAGATCATAAATGCAACAGTAGTTCCAAAGGTTTCATGTTCAGAGACACGTCAAAAGATGGCGACACATATTTCCTCCCAGTGTCCTAGTCACGCATTTTTGCCACATTTATGGATGTGGTTGTGTGAAGTACATACATAACTTACATAACGTGTCTATATCCATGTATGATACTATAGAGCCAAGATATGCCACCATTATGCCACCAGTCTTCTGTTACCTCAAAGATATGCATGTTCCTCGAAGCGTCCTGGCAGATGACCCCGTGGTGGTGAAGCCTAACCAACTCCGAAGCGCTTGGCCCCGATGCTGCTCGTCGTTGCATGAACTGATGACTTGGGGTTTGGGTGGGTTTGGTGCTTGCTGCCATCGGATGCCGTGGATAGATTTCTGGACATTTTCGAAGTTTGCGCACCGTCTCCATAGGGTGAAATCAAGTTGTGACATGTTGCTGCTACAGCATCTCAAAACCCTTGGTTGGTCAGATGGTCTATGGAAATCTTGGGAACCTTTCGCCCCTTGAACTTCATAGACACATTAGACGCTCTGTGGAAACAGTCTGTTGGGTGGTTAGATGATTTGAAAGGCCAAGAACGCCTTTGATATCGATTGCATGATGGCAGTGGCAGCCCGGCAAGCCCGGCAAGCCCGGCAAGCCCGGCAAGCCCGGCAAGCCCGGCAAGCCCGGCAAGCCCGGCTGCCCTCATGAAATCCGTAGTATCTGTATGAACTTTCCCAAGTTCCCAGTGGTTTTCCCGCATGAGCGAGGTGTGATCGAACGTCTCACATCCATTGGTGACCGAGTGCACTTATGCGAGACCATGGGAACTGTGGAGGGCTTTGATGAAGATGGCAACTGGTCCAAATTCATACGATTTAGACAGCGACTGAAATGTTGCATGTGTGAAATCAGCATCATAGCGAGCCCCCAGGGAGCATGTCTCTTCCTGGGCTACCTATGGCTACCTAACTTTCAATGTAACATGCAGTTTCATGTATCCTGTGAACGTTGCAAAGCTCAGTCACAACTTCTCAAGGTGACTTCAAAGTGAAAATGTCAAATGGGCAGCCCGTCGTGTGGTATGCGCACAAATGCTTGGCACCCAGTGGCCCAGTGGTTGTGAAAGATTGCAGAAGTGAGATTGAAAGAGGGAGAGCAGGTAGTTGTGGCTTCTTTACGATGGATTTTGAAGGAACCAAAAGGATTGAGAAATTGTATCACCACATAACGCAATTTATCTTAAAGATTCTTAAAGTAGCTATGAGAAAGCAGTCTTCCGGGCCAGCATCTATGAAAACATGAGGCATGCCCTCAAAAGGTGTAGTGTAGTGTTTATTTTGAGGAAGTGCAGTCTTCCTTTCAAACTATTCTGCCTTTCTTCTTGTGCATACAGACTTCCTGTCGAAAAGTCGCAGTATTCAATAAACATACACACACACACAATCACACACACATGAAATATTCCAATTTTTTTAAAGGAACATTTTAAATTCAGAGACAACGATTTTTCGTTCACAAGCGGTGGTCTTCCTTTGAGACAGGCCTTCCTTCAAGAAGCAGTATGCCTGGAAAATATGGAACATTCCCCCAAAATGGTGAAATGTTCGAAGTGGAGTCTTTCTGTCAACAAATCCAGTCTTCCTTCAATGGGTACCCCTTTAAAAGGCGAACATCCTGCACAGTATGCGGTGTGTTTAGTTTAACCTGTAGCATTCCTGTCAAACAAATGCAATAGCCAATGCACAATTGCAGTACTCCTTGGAAAAGATCATGTCAATTCCTTTATTCATTTTTTGCAAGGCAATAGCTTCTTGAAGGAAATATCTACTTAATTTCTACACATGGATATCGCATTCTTTACTCACATGTTGCATTCATCCGGAAGGGCATGTTACCTACGATACCACGCTTTCTTAACAAAAAGAGTCCTGCATACATAGAATTCTACTTTCTAGCAATGTTCATGGTCCGAAGTGCATGTTGCACCCTTTCCCATCACACTGTCCACCTTTTCAGAAGAAATAGTATACACACACACACACACACTTCTACCAAATTTTGCTTTAAGGAGTACCATACCCTTTCGAAAGAGTACTGCATAAACGGGTTCTACTTTTTCAACGTACCTTTCTAATAAAGTGCACTACTACCCTTTTCAAACGAAATTCGCACATGTTGAAGGTCTCTGTAAAAGCATCCCTCTCAAAGAGACGTTGCGCTCTTTTAAAGGGAACGCACAAAATGAAATCACAACCTGTTGAAGGGAATCCCACAACCTTTTGAAGGAGTCCCACGCTGTTCGGAAATAGAAGTGCACCAGGAGGTCCAGAAGACTCTATTCCATAGTCCTAGGCAATTCTTGACGAGATTTGCAACAAATTCGAGAAAACAAGAAAACTACGAAACACCGTTTCAAAGTATCGGTCGGTATTTGCAAAGTACCGGTTGAGTACAAATTACGTATTGGTTTACAAGATAAATACCCCAGGTTTCCAGTCACAAACAGAGGGTTCATTTTTTGCGCAAGTTTGGCCCCAGGAATTTTGCTGGTCTTGGTGCTCAAGGCATTTGATGTATATAGCATATATAGATATATAGTACGCATGCTTTTCCCTGTATTCTCCAAGTGTTGGGAAATTTGGACAAAACCTCCCCATGTTTGGCCAGTAGCTTCCATCGTTGGCAAATGCTGTGACTGGACCGCCTTTGTCACATGCAGAACAAAGTGGCACTTGTGGCTGAATCATATCCCGAATCGGCGTTTCACGTTCCGAGGCAAGCAAGGCATCGGTTGTTTGCCAAAGAAAAGCTTGGCAGATGAGCTTCTAGAAGAGCTTGGCATGAAGGAGCTGAAGAAACTGGGACTAACCGGACTAACGGGACTAACCGGACTAACCCAATCTCAATCACAAAGTCATCCAAATGATCGGATGCACGCAGGGTGAAGCCAGGACACACAGTGTTGGAAGTTGCAAAATAGACTGTGGAACTTTAGATGCGATGTTAGTTGGAATATGTTGGATTTCTAGTTTTGTTGGTTCTCACAGCTGTGTAGGATTCCTCAGGTGGATTCCTCAACCAGCTCTGCGTCGACTTCCCTCATGTTGGAATCAAACCAGTCACGAACATGTGCAAAAATCATTTCGGACTGAAGGGAACGGCTCTTTTTTTTTCAAACTTTTACTGTTCGATTCTGCTGCAGGAATGGTGAGTACCTGGGCCATCAGGTAGATTTTCGCAGCTCAAAAATTGGGGCAGCGGATGATACCAATGTTAGTGTGCCCGTTCCTGTTGGTGACTCAAATGGCATCTATATAATATTAAATAATTACATTAAATACACTTAATACACATATATGATTTATATTGATTTATATGATATACATATCCGGGCCGTTAGTTGGCATAACTCATGAATGTTATTTCATGGTAGTGGACCTTGACTTGTTAACCTGTGGCATCGTTGATGCCTCGGCAACATGCTCTTGAGCCTCCAGCCCGCTGGGCATGATCATGGCCCTCACAGAGCACAGGTTTCACCCTTTCTCGCTGAGTTTCTCAGCGACTTGGTTGAGTCCCAGTTCCCACAGAGTGACGGCAAAGTCCTACACAGATCTGCGCAGAATGGAACTGGAGCGCGGAAAGAAATGTGCAGATGTGCAGATGCTCGTGCCGAGCCATGCCAGAAAAACACAACTAATATCACAAGCAGCGAGAACATGCGAGAACACGGATTTCACAACCTGATTTCCAGATTGTGGCCAAACCCTGCCCTGAGGCGGAGCAAGACCCGTGTCAATTAGGCATTTTTTTTTTGTGAAACCAAGTTTTCTACTGTACGATGGAAATTGACATTGCTTGACATGGTCCATGGCTCCACTTTTTGCTCCGTTTTCGCAGCCGTTGGTTCGTTTGAAGCACTTTCTGGCCTTTCCTTTGGTCCCCTGTGAGTGCTGCGGGACTCAGAGCCACCCGGAGTAGCCAGAAACGCAGCCAAAACACTTGGAAGTCTGAAGAGCCTCACGTTTAAATTTAAGGCACTGGTTCTCCACAACTTAGACTGGGCAGAATCAGCAAGCAAGGTAATATGCAATCATTGGGACTATTTGTATCTATTTGTATCGATTTGTGGGAATCGCTTTGTTTTCTTCGATCGTGATGCTTTGAGACCTTCAAGGAGGTTACGGTTGACTCCAGAACGAACATGTTGACTGAGACGCCGCACACAAGCGAGAAGAACTGAGGTTCTGCCTGATGCAGGATTTCGTTTTCTTCCCGGACTCTCGGCTCTGCTGTGAGACTCACATTTGCCTACATTTGCCTACAGCCTGTTTTTGTCCTTCAAATGGTAGTAGTAGATCCAATCAAACAAGGGAGATTTGTTCTTGTTTCATCGACGAAGGCCGTGGCCTCTGCCTTGTTTTGGTCAGTCCAATAGATTTCTGGCCTTGTGGATTCCTTTCCTCACGACTCCCGAAGTTATTAGCTGTTTCTTGACTTGATATCCCATTCAGCATGTATTCAGACACGCATCCGTTGCCTTGCATTAGGCCTTGCTTGCCCACAAGCCATCGCCGAGGTGAAACCTGTGAAGGTTTCAGTTCCTTCCGCCCAACGCAGCTCGTAGCAGTTAGGGGGTATACGGTATATGTGTTCTGCCAATCCTTTCTGGAGACATGTTTGCATTCCTTGCTCGGTTTCTGCTTGGACTTTGGGGTGTATCTGGGGCCGTGGTTTGATTGCAGAATGTTTGGATTCCATGGCTGAGAAAGTATGCTCTTCCGCATTCCACATCAAGTTCCTGGCGTTTCTGTTTCGCATCCAAGGTGGAAAACTGATCCCAGTTCTCCTCCCCGTGATCATCTGTTTGCTTTTCATGGTATTCCTGAGGACCGGAAAGTGGATTGAGTGGATGAATGAATCTTCAGGAATCTGTTTTACTGTTCCCAACGTGTTTTCAAGGTGTTTTAGACGGAAAAGGGATGAAAAGGGATCCACCTTCAAATTTCAGCTACGAAATGGGGAGGACTTGGGCTACAGTACAGATTGCCAGCCAGCATTTTTTTGTACAAACAGGAGGGGTTGTGCCCCCCATTTTGTATTTGGAATCATTTTGTAGTTGATTCCTTTCAAATCATGCATTTTCATTTTGTAGTTGTACAAGTTGAATAGTTGAAGCATCCAACATAAAATCTCATTAGCATTTTGTAGTTGTACAAGTTGAATAGTTGAAGCATCCAACATAAAATCTCATTTGCATTTTGTAGCTGTACAGGTTGAATAGTTGAAGCATCCAACATAAAATCTCATTTGCATTCATGCTAAACATTCATTTGCATTTTGTAGTTGTATGTATGCTGAGGTGCAGGGATAACACAGATAAGGAATGATCAAGATGGGTAAGAATGAAAAAGACGTTCAACTTTAATGAATGTCCCCCACTAACTGAGAGCCAACCCCCATGCAACCGGCCTCTATGCTCCCAATCAAGGTGCCATAGGAAAACACTTGGAAAACACTTGATCCAACTAAATTCAATCATTGACAACTACAAAATGTTCTCCGAATCGATGTTGGTCGGAACTTTGGATGGCAAAGACCCAACTACAAAATGTCATTGGGAAAAATCATGTTAGAAATTCCGACGTTCAGCTATGTTTTTGACTTCAGATGCATTGGATTTTGTAGTACTGGTTTTGAATTATTTTCCGAGCCAGAAAGAGTTATGTTCTTCATTTTGTAGCTGAAAAAAAAGTACATGCACTTGCATTTTGTAGTTGTGCACCCTATGCATTCCGCTCTGTATCTACCAAAACCATCTGCACAACTCCTCCCCCCTTATCTGAACCCCGATGAAAAGGGGATAAAGTCAGACGAGGGCGTCGGTTTCTGAATGCTTTTGCTGAAAAGTGTGTGTTGAGTTCATTGACATCGGCCCGCAGATTTGATCTCCAGGACGTGCCGCCGACGCCGGGCTGCTCAGGGGAATGGAAGAGCGCGGGGCACGCTGCTGACGTCGTTGCGTTTGGAGCCCCAGTGGTGTTTCGGAGCCATGTGACGATTACAGTCTTTGGATGTTTTTGGGGTTGAGGTCTGAGATAGATGGATTACTAAAGATTACTTGAGATTTCTTTGCAATACTTTGCAACTATATTTGAATTACGTGGGACTCATTTATCCGGTGCATTGTCACATGTCCTCACCGCTTTTGTAAGATCCTCTTAAGATTGAGCTTCTGAGTGCAGCTGATGACCAGTGCAGCTTGCTCACTTGCCACGAGGTGTTTCGAAGCGTGCGCAAGATGGAAAGAAGGTCTGGATGACAAAAAAATCCTTGGTGCTGGAATCCTGAAGCTCCTTTTGCTGCCAGCCTGGCCTTCAACTTCCAACTCATGGCCACAGACAGGAAAAACATGGGAAACCAATGGAAACCAATGAATTACTTGAGCAGCTTTCAAACAGTAGTAGACCACGTGGAATCTGCTCATTCCAACAAGATTTGTGAGGCGGTGCCAACCGTCTTGTTTGCAAGCTTTAAGTAAATTCCTTGCAAGTTCTAAAATGATCCAAATCATCTACGATGAAACATTTTCGGCAATCTTATGGCAACCAAGCAACAAGGCATTCGCCTAAAAGGTGCTGAAAGAAAGAGTGGTTGTGAGCACCACTTGCCTTTGACGCATTTGAGCCATTTTTAACGTCGTTACAGAGCCTTACAGTATGACAAATGGGTCAAGGCAGGTCTGAAACATGAACTGTGCCAGGTCGCCACAGCCGTGTTGAAGCCCATCGAGCGGGCCATGCAGCCCTGGATCGATGGCCCAAGGCGCACCCGGCGCACCCAGCGCACCCGGCGCACCCCAGCTATGCTCGATGCATGTTTCCGTGCTTCGTTGTTGGGGTTCGGCGCAGCAAGACGCTTCGGCATGTGACGGTGCTGTGATACACAGGAGCGTGGAGTACGATCTCAACATATTCACGGTGGGTGGCAGAGTGACCGATGTTTGTCGGGGACCTTAGTCTCAAAGCAGAGTGTGGCTCACATACGTACGCCCTGGCACGCCCTGGCACGCCCTGGCACGCCCTGGCACGCCCTGGCACATGCAAGTGTCGAAACTTGTGGTTTCCCAGGGTTTCATGCAGGGCATGGATTGGATTTGGTGCTTGCACTTTCTTGCATGTCGTATCGTCATGCCATGAAGTCATCCCAGGCGGAACGAAAGCGACAATCGTCGGCGTGGACGAAGACGGAGACCTTCCTGTCTTCACCGACGATGGGAAGACGATGGTTACCTGATGCAGCATGTGGCTGCAAGTTCGGGAACGGCAGTGTGGACCACGCATCCCAACCAGTCCAACATTGCAACTGCAGAAATCGGACGTCCAAACAACATCGAACTTAACTATCAACTCATTTGCAAAGTCTTCCAATGTGTTGTTGCAGATCCGTTGGATACTTTCTAGGAGCACTAGTAGAGGTTTTGCATTCTGAGTCTGTTGTCAATATGCGAATGTTATTGTAGTGACACCGAAATATCAAGCACATTGGTAGAGCATTGTGCCATTCCGCGTAGTTGTACATGTACGAGTTCCATCCAACTGCACAATTGGATTCGTTCGTAATTACGCAGTGGGGACAATGATCAGATAGTAAGACATAGTTGACATAGCAAGACAGTGTAAGTGTAAGACTCAACATGGGACTGATAGGTGTGGTTCAGTCTTGGCTGCCGACATTGCCAGCATTTGCTGTTCTTCCGAACTCTTCCTGCCCGGCTCAGATTTTCTATGCAAAGAATTGCCGGAAGGCAATCAGTGTTGGAGACCGGGTCTTCAACACCAGGAGAGAAGAAGTGGCCGAAGTCATTGGCTTCGACCACATGGGTGCGCATCCGTTTGTTGGAACGTGGGGGCCTGGACGGGACGGGTTCCAAATCTTGGATTGAATCAGAAAAGATCATAAATTGTCATAAATGCAACAAGAGTTCCAAAGGTTTCATGTTCAGAGACACGTCAAAAGATGGCGACACATATTTCCTCCCAGTGTCCTAGTCACGCATTTTTGCCACATTTATGGATGTGGTTGTGTGAAGTACATACATAACTTACATAACGTGTCTATATCCATGTATGATACTTGAAAGATACTATAGAGCCAAGATATGCCACCATTATGCCACCAGTCTTCTGTTACCTCAAAGATATGCATGTTCCTCGAAGCGTCCTGGCAGATGACCCCGTGGTGGTGAAGCCTAACCAACTCCGAAGCGCTTGGCCCCGATGCTGCTCGTCGTTGCATGAACTGATGACTTGTGGTTTGGGTGGGTTTGGTGCTTGCTGCCATCGGATGCCGTGGATAGATTTCTGGACATTTTCGAAGTTTGCGCACCGTCTCCATAGGGTGAAATCAAGTTGTGACATGTTGCTGCTACAGCATCTCAAAACCCTTGGTTGGTCAGATGGTCTATGGAAATCTTGGGAACCTTTAACCTTTCGCCCCTTGAACTTCATAGACACATTAGACGCTCTGTGGAAACAGTCTGTCGGGTGGTTAGATGATTTGAAAGGCCAAGAACGCCTTGAATATCGATTGCATGATGGCAGTGGCAGCCCGGCAAGCCCGGCAAGCCCGGCAAGCCCGGCAAGCCCGGCAAGCCCGGCAAGCCCGGCAAGCCCGGCAAGCCCGGCAAGCCCGGCTGCCCTCATGAAATCCGTAGAATCTGTATGAACTTTCCCAAGTTCCCAGTGGTTTTCCCGCATGAGCGAGGTGTGATCGAACGTCTCACATCCATTGGTGACCGAGTGCACTACCCATGCGAGACCATGGGAATTGTGGAGGGCTTTGATGAAGATGGCAACTTGTCCAAATTCATACGATTTAGACAGCGACTGAAATGTTGCATGTGTGAAATCAGCATCATAGCGAGCCCCCAGGGAGCATGTCTCTTCCCGGGCTACCTATGGCTACCTAACTTTCAATGTAACATGCAGTTTCATGTATCCTGTGAACGTTGCAAAGCTCAGTCACAACTTCTCAAGGTGACTTCAAAGTGAAAATGTCAAATGGGCAGCCCGTCGTGTGGTATGCGCACAAATGCTTGGCACCCAGTGGCCCAGTGGTTGTGAAAGATTGCAGAAGTGAGATTGAAAGAGGGAGAGCAGGTAGTTGTGGCTTCTTTACGATGGATTTTGAAGGAACCAAAAGGATTGAGAAATTGTATCACCACATAACGCAATTTATCTTAAAGATTCTTAAAGTAGCTATGAGAAAGCAGTCTTCCGGGCCAGCATCTATGAAAACATGAGGCATGCCCTCAAAAGGTGTAGTGTAGTGTTTATTTTGAGGAAGTGCAGTCTTCCTTTCAAACTATTCTGCCTTTCTTCTTGTGCATACAGACTTCCTGTCGAAAAGTCGCAGTATTCAATAAACATACACACACACATGCAATATCCCAATTTTTTTAAAGGATCATTTTAAATTCAGAGACCGATTTTTCCTTCACGAGCGGTGGTCTTCCTTTAGACAGGCCTTCCTTCAAGAAGCAGTATGCCTGGAAAATATGGAACATTCCCCCAAAATGGTGAAATGTTCGAAGTGGAGTCTTTCTGTCAACAAATCCAGTCTTCCTTCAATGGGTACCCCTTTAAAAGGCGAACATCCTGCACAGTATGCGGTGTGTTTAGTTTAACCTGTAGCATTCCTGTCAAACAAATGCAATAGCCAATGCACAATTGCAGTACTCCTTGGAAAAGATCATGTCAATTCCTTTATTCATTTTTTGCAAGGCAATAGCTTCTTGAAGGAAATATCTACTTAATTTCTACACAGGGATATCGCATTCTTTACTCACATGTTGCATTCATCCGGAAGGGCATGTTACCTACGATACCTTTCTTAACAAAAAGAGTCCTGCATACATAGAATTCTACTTTCTAGCAATGTTCATGTTCCGAAGTGCATGTTGCACCCTTTCCCATCACACTGTCCACCTTTTCGGAAGAAATAGTACACACACACACACACTTCTACCAAATTTTGCTTTAAGGAGTACCATACCCTTTCGAAAGAGTACTGCATAAACGGGTTCTACTTTTTCAACGTACCTTTCTAATAAAGTGCACTACTACCCTTTTCAAACGAAATTCGCACATGTTGAAGGTCTCTGTAAAAGCATCCCTCTCAAAGAGACGTTGCGCTCTTTTAAAGAGAACGCACAAAATGAAATCACAACCTGTTGAAGGGAATCCCACAACCTTTTGAAGGAGTCCCACGCTGTTCGGAAATAGAAGTGCATCAGGAGGTCCAGAAGACTCTATTCCATAGTCCTAGGCAATTCTTGACGAAATTTGCAACAAATTCGAGAAAACAAGAAAACTACGAAACACCGTTTCAAAGTATCGGTCGGTATTGGCAAAGTACCGGTTGAGTACAAATTACGTATTGGTTTACAAGATAAATACACCAGGTTTCCAGTCACAAACAGAGGGTTCATTTTTTGCGCAAGTTTGGCCCCAGGAATTTTGCTGGTCTTGGTGCTCAAGGCATTTGATGTATATAGCATATAGATATATAGTACGCATGCTTTTCCCTGTATTCTCCAAGTGTTGGGAAATTTGGACAAAACCTGCCCATGTTTGGCCAGTAGCTTCCATCGTTGGCAAATGCTGTGACTGGACCGCCTTTGTCACATGCAGAACAAAGTGGCACTTGTGGCTGAATCATATCCCGAATCGGCGTTTCACGTTCACAATGTTTGTCATATGTTTGTCATGTTTCAGCCGAGGCAAGCAAGGCATCGGTTGTTTGCCAAAGAAAAGCTTGGCAGATGAGCTTCTAGAAGAGCTTGGCATGAAGGAGCTGAAGAAACTGGGACTAACCGGACTAACGGGACTAACCCAATCTCAATCACAAAGTCATCCAAATGATCGGATGCACGCAGGGTGAAGCAAGGACACACAGTGTTGGAAGGTGCAAAATAGACTGTGGAACTGGAGATGCGATGTGAGTTGGAATATGTCGGATTTCTATGGATTTCTAGTTTTGTTGGTTCTCACAGCTGTGTAGGATTCCTCAGGTAGATTCCTCAACCAGCTCTGCGTCGACTTCCCTCATGTTGGAATCAAGCCAGTCACGAACATGTGCAAAAATCATTTCGGACTGAGCGGAACGGCTCTTTTTTTTCCAAAGTTTTAACGTTCGATTCTGTTGCAGGAATGGCAGTGAGTACCTTGGCCATCAGGTAGATTTTCGCAGCTCAAAAATGGGTGCCCGTCCCTGTTGGTGACTCAAATGGCATCTATGTAATATTAAATACACTTAATACACATATATGATTTATATGATATGATATACATATCCGGGCCGTGAGTTGGCATAGTTCATGAATGTTACTTCATGGTAACCTTTGACATCGATGATGCCTCGGCAACATGTTCTTGAGCCTCCAGCCGGTTGGGCATGATGATCTCTGTGAGGGCCATCATCATGCCCAACCGGCTGGAGGCTCAAGAACATGTTGCCGAGGCATCAACGATGTCACAAGTTAACAAGTCAGCGACTTTCTCGCTGAGTTTCTCAGCGACTTGGTTGAGTCCCAGTTCCCACAGAGTGACGGCAAAGTCCTACACAGATCTGCGCAGAATGGAACTGGAGCGCGGAAAGAAATGTGCAGATGCTCAGATGCTCGTGCCGAGCCATGCCAGAAAACACAACTAATATCACAAGCAGCGAGAACATGCGAGAACACGGAGGTTGATTTCACCTGTTTTCCAGAATGTGGCCAAACCCTGCCCTGAGGCGGAGCAAGACCCGTGTCAATTAGGCATTTTTTTTTGTGAAACCAAGTTTTCTACTGTACGATGGAAATTGACATTGCTTGACATGGTCCATGGCTCCACTTTGCTCCATTTTCGCAGCCGTTGGTTCGTTTGAAGCACTTCCTGGCGTTTCTTCTGGTCCCTTGTGAGTGCTGCGGGACTCAGAGCCACCCGGAGTAGCCAGAAACGCAGCCAAAACACTTGGAAGTCTGAAGAGCCTCACGTTGAAATTTAAGGCACTGGTTCTCCACAACTTAGACTGGGCAGAATCAGCAAGCAAGGTAATATGCAATCATTGGGACTATTTGTATCTATTTGTATCGATTTGTGGGAATCGTTTTGTTTTCTTCGATCGTGATGCTTTGAGACCTTCAAGGAGGTTACGGTTGACTCCAGGACGAACATGTTGACTGAGACGCGCGCGCACGCAAGCGAGAAGAACTGAGGTTCTGCCTGATGCAGGATTTCGCTTTCTTCCCGGACTCTCGGCTCAGCTGTGAGACTCACATTTGCCTACATTTGCCTACAGCCTGTTTTTCTCCTTCAAGTGCTAGATCCAATCAAAGAAGGGAGATTTGTTCTTGTTTCATCGACGAAGGCCGTGGCCTCTGCCTTGTTTTGGTCAGTCCAATAGATTTCTGGCCTTGTAGATTCCTTTCCTCACGATTCCCAAAGTTATTAGCTGTTTCTTGACTTGATATCCCATTCAGCATGTATTCAGACACGCATCCGTTGCCTTGCATTCGGCCTTGCTTGCCCACAAGCCATCGCCGAGGTGAAACCTGTGAAGGTTTCAGTTCCTTCCGCCCAACGCAGCTCGTAGCAGTTAGGGGGTATACGGTATATGTCAATCCTTTCTGGAGACATGTTTGCATTCGTTGCTCGGTTTCTGCTTGGACTTTGGGCTGTATCTGGGGCCGTGGTTTGATTGCAGAATGTTTGGATTCCATGGCTGAGAAAGTATGCTCTTCCGCATTCTCAAGTTCCTGGCGTTTCTGTTTCGCATCCAAGGCGGAGAACTCCCAGTTCTCCTCCCCGTGATCATCTGTTTGCTTTTCATGGTATTCCTGAGGACCGGAAAGTGGATTGAGTGGATGAATGAATCTTCAGGAATCTGTTTTACTGCTCCCAACGTGTTTTCAAGGTGTTTTAGACGGAAAAGGGATGAAAAGGGGATAAAGTCAGACGAGGGCGTTGGTTTCTGAATGCTTTTGCTGAAAAGTGTGTGTTGAGTTGATTGACATCGGCCCGCACATTTGATCTCCAGGACGTGCCGCCGACGCAGGGCTGCTCAGGGGAATGGAAGAGCGCGGGGCACGCTGCTGACGTCGTTGCGTTTGGAGCCCCAGTGGTGTTTCGGAGCCATGTGACGATTACAGTTTTTGGATGTTTTTGGGGTTGAGGTCTGAGATAGATGGACTACTAAAGATTACTTGAGATTTCTTTGCAATACTTTGCAACTATATTTGAATTACGTGGGACTCATTTATCGGATGCGTTGTCACATCCTCACCGCTTTTGTAAGATCCTCTCAAGATTGAACTTCTGAGTGCAGCTGATGACCAGTGCAGCTTGCTCACTTGCCACGAGGTGTTTCGAGGCGTGAAGCGCAAGATGGACAGAAGGTGTGGATGACAAAAAATCCTTGGTGCTGGAATCCTGAAGCTTGGCAATGCACACCTGAGTCCTACACGGGTAATAAAAAGAACATCCTAGGTCTGTGCTGCACTCCTTTTGCTGCCAGCCTGGCCTTCAACTTCCAACTCATGGCCACAGACAGGAAAAACATGGGAAACCAATGGAAACCAATGAATTACTTGAGCAGCTTTCAAACAGTAGTAGACCACGTGGAATCTGCTCATTCCAACAAGATTTGTGAGACGGTGCCAACCGTCTTGTTTGCAAGCTTTAAATAAATTCCTTGCAAGTTCTAAAGTGATCCAAATCATCTACGATGAAACATTTTCGGCAATCTTATGGCAACCAAGCAACACGGCATTTGGCTGAAAGGTGCTGAAAATGGAAAGGGTAGTTGTGAGCACCACTTGCCTTTGACGCATTTGAGCCATTTTTAACGTGTTACAGAGCCTTACAGTATGACAAATGGGTCAAGGCAGGTCTGAAACATGAACTGTGCCAGGTCGCCACAGCCGTGTTGAAGCCCATCGAGCGGGCCATGCAGCCCTGGATCGATGGCCCAAGGCGCACCCGGCGCACCCGGCGCACCCGGCGCACCCCACCTATGCTCGATGCATTTTTCGGTGCTTCGTAAGACGCTTCGGCATGTGACGGTGCTGTGATACACAGGAGCGTGGAGTACGATCTCAACATATTCACGGTGGGTGGCAGAGTGACCGATGTTTGTCGGGGACCTTAGTCTCAAAGCAGAGTGTGGCTCACATACGCCCTGGCATGCCCTGGCACATGCAAGTGTCGAAACTTGTGGTTTCCCAGGGTTTCATGCAGGACATGGATTGGATTTGGTGCTTGCAGTTTCTTGCATGTCGTATCGTCATGCCGTGAAGTCATCCCAGGCGGAACGAAAGCGACGATCGTCGGCGTGGACGAAGACGGAGACCTTCCTGTCTTCACCGACGATGGGAAGACGATGGTTACCTGATGCAGCATGTGGCTGCAAGTTCGGGAACGGCAGTGTGGACCACGCATCCCAACCAGTCCAACATTGCAACTGCAGAAATCGGACGTCCAAACAACATCAAACTTAATTATCAACTCATTTGCAAAGTCTTCCAATGTGTTGTTGCAGATCCGTTGGATACTTTCTAGGAGCACTAGTAGAGGTTTTGCATTCTGAGTCTGTTGTCAATATGCGAATGTTATTGTAGTGACACAAAAATATCAAGCACATTGGTAGAGCATTGTGCCATTCCGCGTAGTTGTACATGTACGAGTTCCATCCAACTGCACAATTGGATTCGTTCGTAATTACGCAGTGGGGACAATGATCAGATAGTAAGACATAGTTGACATAGTAAGACAGTGTAAGTGTAAGACTCAACATGGGACTGATAGATGTGGTTCAGTCTTGGCTGCCGACATTGCCAGCATTTGCTGTTCTTCCGAACTCTTCCTGCCCGGCTCAGATTTTCTATGCAAAGAATTGCCGGAAGGCAATCAGTGTTGGAGACCGGGTCTTCAACACCAGGAGAGAAGAAGTGGCCGAAGTCATTGGCTTCGACCACATGGGTGCGCATCCGTTTGTTGGAACGTGGGGGCCAGGAGCGGACGGGTTCCAAATCTTGGATTGAATCAGAAAAGATCATAAATGCAACAGTAGTTCCGAAGGTTTCATGTTCAGAGACACGTTAAAAGATGGCGCCACATATTTCCTCCCAGTGTCCTAGTCACGCATTTTTGCCACATTCATGGATGTGGTTGTGGCGAAACAAAAACTGAAAGTTTTTGTGCAGGACAGAATGCAGGTGTTGTGGGTGCCATTTTGGCTCAAGAAACCCACACACCTGCAAGATGAATCTTTTTCGTTTGATTTTGCTTGGGTGTGCGGGCTGCCATGTTTCCAACCCAAACTGCTGCCATGCAATTCACCACCGTGACGGCGGTACGGGAACACTATCAGCTGCCGGATCCGGTTTGGAGGTCCTTCATCGAAGTATGCGGCGATCCCAACGACGATCTGAAGCTGTTAGCTGTCTTACCTCCCCGTATAGTGGCAGCATCGTTGGAACGAGCACAACTACCCGAAGGAAGCTTCCTTTCGGCAATTCAAGCATCCCATGTGGGCCTTGTATACAACTTGGCACGTCGTATAGTGCACACCCGGGGTGGAGGAGACTGGGACAGCTGGAAAGAGTCATCACCCTTTGGAGATCAAGGTGCACCAGGGCCCGAAGGAGTTGCGACACAAGGGCAAGACTCACAGACCAGCCCCAAAGCCGAGAGGAAGTTAAAGATGAACAACATCATCGACCAGGCAGACGATGGAGAGTTCACAGTGCAAAACGAGGACACGAAGGCTGCCTGGTATCAAAGATACCTCGAAGTTGTTGGTGGATGGCCCCAGGAGGAAGAGGAACCCACCATGGAACAACTTTCAGGGGTGCAAAGGAGGCTGCAAGTACAAGACACAGCCCCTTATGTGGACTTTGCCATTTTCGTTCCCTACGGCTCGAAGGCTCTGAGAGCGAGCAAGTTCAGGAACTACACATTGACCTCGAGTGGCTACACCACCAAAGATCTGCCGGGGCCATCGGGTTTCATTCAGTGGAGGGCCTGCTTCCGGATCCTTCGGACAACGCTCATCATGCTGGATGCGGTGTCGCTTGCAGCCCTCCACAATTACGAGGCCCATGTGGAAAGGCTCACCCGGACATTTTCCACGGCGTGGCATCTCATCTACAGCGCGGACGAGTTAGCGAGGTCGAGCCATTCAAGCAGGTTGAGATCGCAGCTCCTCATGGACCTGAGGGGTGGAAGAACAGCCCCACGCAATTGGGACCCAGCCAGACCGTGGGATTGGGTCTTCCAGCAGCTGATCCTGGACGACGCCTTCTGGCAGACACAGGTAGTGGGTCCAGCACTCACTTGGCTGGCGGCAGGGAGCCGGGGCACCCCAAAGACTCCATCGGAACAACTTGCCATGAGCTACATGGAAGGGGGCCTCAAAGCGATCACGCCCTCCATGGACTCGAAGCGACAACATTCGAGGTCAGCTTCAAGAACGTGGCGAAGGAAAAAGAAACGAAATGGACAAGCAGAAGAACGAGGTTCCCCAGAGCCAAAAGGTTCAGGAGACGGAGGAGGAAAGAAAGGAAAGAAAGGCAAAGGAAAAGGTGGTACAAAACAAAAATGTTACAGCTGGAACAATGGTACACCACCCTGTGGAGGTTTATCACCGGGGCAAACCTGTGCGGGAAAAGTTCAACGTCTGCACCGTTGCACGGTCTGCAACTCGCCAGGCCACCCGTCGAAGTCTTGCCCAAATCGAATGCAGGAATGAACACTTGCGGAGAAGGTCATGGTGACGAAGGACAAAAGAAAGAAGAGACAAGTGGGAGCAAGGGTGGTGAATCCGAATACAGCTACACATATGAAACGGATGAAGAAGATGACCAGAAAGACAAAAAGAAGGAGGACGAGGATGACAAGGACAAGAAGGGAGACAGCGGTGAAGGTGGGAAGGAAGAAGAACCCATAGACGCCGACTCCCTGGAGGACTACTTCCGGAGGAGAACCTTCATCTTCGTCCACCACTTCGCGGGGCCCGACGATCCGCTCACCGAGGCCATGCTGATCGAGGCCTCGAAGAGGAAGGTGCTGCTCAAAACCTTCAGCATCGAGAAGGACAAAGGCACCGGAGACCTCCTCATGGATGAACCCTACGGCACTCATCTTAGATGGGCAAAAAGGGGCTACATCGATGCCTTTCATTCAGGTTTTCCATGTGCCACCTTCAGCAGATTGAAGTTTAGGGAGGTGGAAGGACTCCCAGGACCAGTTCGCACAAAAAGCGAGCCCTATGGGAAAGAGTCGAATACAGGCCGTGAACAACAAGCTTGTGACGATGGTACAATCATGGCTTGCAGATCCATAAACATGGCAAACGCCGTGGCAGACAGGAAGACCACATCGAAGATTCAACGCATCGCCACCTTGGAGAACCCTCCGGAGTCCGAACATCCAGAACACCTGTCTGCATGGGAGCTCCCGGAGATGAAGGATTTCACGAAAGGGAGCGGCAGGAGGGTTGCAGCCTTCAACACATGCGCCTACCAAGGTCATCTGCCCATAGGCCAACGTCACTTCAAACCACAGAAGTTCGTCGGCACGTTGCTGGGCATTGAACAACTCTGCAAACGTTGCGGGTGTGGAGAGTTCGCAACACACGATGCGATAATAGGCCCTCAGAAATCAAAAGAGTCTGGCAGGTATCCAAACGAATTCTGCGAGGCCTATGCCAAGCTAGCCATACAGCATTTGACGCTCATGGGCAAGGAGGAGTACCTGAAGGAACGCATGACAAGTCTGGAAAGTACCATAAGAAAGAGAAAAGCCGAGGTGGTCGAACACAACACGCTCCGACCTCCGAGCTGCAGCCCTCCGACCAGGAGAAGGAGGAAGGCAGACGAAACGCTGAAGAGGGACAGAGAAGAAAGAGATCGCAGCAGCTCGCCAGCCAGGCCAGCAGGACACAGCAGCCCACCGGCGAGAAGGTCAAGGTCCAGAACGCCAAAGGCCAAGAAGGTCGAGCTCAAGCCCAATCGTGACAAAGGCTGAGTGGAAGGCGAAGGCAAATACGGCTCCCTCAAAGCTCAGAAATCCAAGGCGGAGTTGAGAGACCCGGCCGAGTTCGTTGGAGGCATGCGCAACCCATACGAGACGGTCATCTCGATGTCCAACCTGCTGTCCTTAGGCATCCGTGTGAGAGCCGTATGGGAAACCTTCTGCAGACAGAACAAAGGAGTGATGACGGTGGCAGAGCAGTACGGCACGAAGGAATGCTGGATGGACAACAGGTTGCTACAAACCTGGAAGGGACACCTTAAGCGGGTGTTGGGTGCCAATGCTCCACCAGCGGTCAAAATGACCCCACGATGGGGCTATGTGTCACCACTCGACCCGGAGATCATCGAAGCGTGAGTGACACGAGGAAACGACCCCGAGGTGCACGTCAGTGATTGGATCAGGAGAGGGGCGCCTCTAGGCATCGAGTCCACGATCCCCACAGCTGGCATTTTCCCTCCAGCAGAGGCAAACAACATGGACTATCCCGGACAACAAGAGCTGGAGGACGCCGCAGGCCAGCTCAGCAAAGGATGCATCTCCAACTACTCCAGCGTCCAGGAGAACGTGCAGGAAGCGAAGGTGGAGCTGGACAGGTACCGCAAAGCGGGCTTCATGGTGGACGTCAAGAAGTCCACGGTGACGGACGAGATGAAACACGGCACCATCAGCAAGCTGGGGCTCATCATCAAGCACAAGCCAGAAGGCATAAAACGAAGGATAATACTTGACCTTCGACGATCCGGAGGCAACAAGAAAGCCACCTTGCCGGAGAAACTTGTGCTTCCGCGCCCCAGGGACTTCCTCAACTCCATACGGTCGGTGTATGCCATGCAACGAGCCCACGGACGTGATGAAGGTTACGCCCGAGAACTGGCAGTCATTGACGTCAGTGACGCCTTCATGTCCTTGGCGGTGGAGGAGAAGGAGTTGGTGCACACACTTGCGCTGAACATAGAAAATGAGGATTTCTACATGTTCGTGGCCTTGTTGTTCGGCTACAAGACGGCGCCACTCCTCTGGAGCAGAGTAGCAGCCTTGCTATCCAGACTCCTCCAGTCTGCGGTGCCGGGAGCCGCAGGGCAACACCAAACCTATTTGGATGATGCGGCATGGGTGCTGCAGGGCTCCCTGGCCGAAAGAAACGACACCCTGGCATTCATCCTGTACACGATGGCCGCCCTTGGTTTCCGCATTTCACTGCAGAAAGGCATGAGGTCCACCCAAGTTACATGGGTGGGAGTTCGGTTCACCGTCACACCGGACCATGTCATCATTGGACTTCCAGAGAAGTTTGTGACTGAACTGGTCGAAATGCTGGAAGGATGGCACAACAAGGGCATGGTAGCCATCAAGGAGCTCAGACAAGCAGCAGGGCGCATTTCCTGGATGTCAGGGATTTTGCCGAGAACACGTTGGGTGGTGGCCACCTTTTACAAGGTTTTGCACGAGAGGCTCAACGACGTGGCCACGGGCGCAGAAGCTGCCAGGCGCTCAAATCGCCAGGACACCAGGCCAAAAGACCACCTGTTCACGGTCAAACAGTTGGAACAACCAAGACGATGGCTGGTGACCTATCTCAGAGCCGCGTTACTGAAGCCGTCCCGCAAGTACAAACTGGACATCGAGAAGTACCCGAAGGCCACCATAGTGACAGATGCGAGCCCGTTGGGGCTAGGAGCCATCCTCTTAGTCAACAACAGGGCAACAAAGGCTCTGGCTTACAAAGTCACCGAGACAGACGCCCACCAATTGGGCTTCAAGGACTGCTGGAAAGAAGCAGGCTCACAAGGCATAGTGGAAACACTAGCCGTACTGGTGGCCATCAAGACGTGGACGAAGGAACTGGCATCTTGCCAGGTGGAACTCAAGGTCCAAAGTGACAGCATGGTGGCACTGGCCGTCACCCAAAGGCTCTCCAACTCCACCTCATCTTTGAATTTTTTGGGGGCGGAGATAGCGGTCCAATGCGAGATTGCAGGTGTGGAGAACTTGAAGGCCTCCCACATCCCAGGGGCGGCCAATGTGGCTGCCGATTGGCTCAGCAGGCCACAAAAGGAGTCCACCGTCCCGATGCCCCCTGAACTGGAAGGGGTCCCAATTTCCAGAGAGGAGGAGCCGAGGGTGGCAGACTACTACAAGCTGCCGACACCCGCCAGTGCCCCTGGACTCTGGTTTTCCAGCGCTGCGGCCAACGACATTTGGGCTAGCATGCGCTGAAGTCGGCATAGGGCCGAAACTTGATTCTCCCCATTTGATCGCAAAAGGAAGGGCACGACAGTGGGGAGTCATCCATTTCGGTGCACCATGGCACTGCAGGAATCAAGGGTTCACCTTTATCCATTTATTATTTATTTATTTCTTTGCCCTTAGGCTCAAATTATGGAGCTGGTGATCAGCCCACATGCACCTCCGGCGGGGGCACCGTTAGTGCCATGGACCCCAACACATGGTTGGATCGGAGTGGGGGTCGCCCTAGGCGGCCTTGGCCTCCTGCTGATCACCCTGCTCTACTACACGAGGGCTTACGGTCCTTCCTGTGCACGGGCAGCACAGATCCATCCGAAGGGGCAGAGGGGTTGCTCAAGTTCCTCAAGACCCCTTCCATTCGCGCGGTTCCCCACAGAGGAGACAGACTTGGCGACGTTTGTGACAAGAAGGACATCAACATGGAGAAGGCAGCAATTGGCGGGGAGCGACGTTTTCCTCTTGTTGGACTGAGGGCAGACACCTCATCAGAACAGGCCCAACCCATTTTGTCACAGGGACCAGCCCCGCTGGAGGTATCAGACACAGAGGATGATCTAACTTTTGGCCCACATCCTGTCGCCTATCAAAGGTACGAAGGTTTCGCCACAGGGGCATTCCCAGGATTCCCACCTTCTCCACCAAGGCAAGAGGCATCAGAAAAGGAACCCAAAGGCCCGTGGTGGAGGGAAATGCTAGCCTCACCCGTCAAGCGGCTCAAGTTGACAGGCTGGGCATCACCGTGGAAGGAAAATCCACCGAGACTTGACCTCCCTCCGGCGGAACCTGAGATCACCCACGTAGAGGGCACGAAGGCGACAACAGCGCAGAAGCCTACAACTGCCAAAGCCAATGACAGGTCCAGACCAAAGCCGCATCGGCTGGATTTAGCGCCGAGGAAAACAGGGCTCATGCAAAGAAAATGCAGCAGGAGCCATGCTGTGGGGCTTGCCAAGAATAAGACCCTACGAAACCGGGCGGTGGCAAACATCGTGGCATCCTACTACTCCAATTCCTCCATTGCCGCAAAGAACTCGAAGCGCAGAATGGTGGACAAATTGCTCAAAGCGGCAAACCTCGACTTTCCTTTGACACCTTTGCACATCAAGACAGTCGCAGGGGCCCTCAAGGACGCGGGGTACAAATCCACCTTCTCCTATTTGATCGAGATGAAAACCATGCACATCGAATTGGATCACACGTGGTCATCTTTGTTGGATCGCCACTTCAAACTGTGCATGGCCGCGGCGAAGAGGAACGTGGGCCCAAGGAAGAAAGCTCCTGAGGTACCCGAAGACATCTGGGTGAACCACCCACTTCTCGAGGACCCCTCCAACCAGGGCACGAAGGTGGGATTAGCAGCACACTTGTTTGCCTGCGGAGTCCACTGGATGATGCGGGAAATTGAAATTGCGAACTTGTCCGCAAAGGACATCAAATTCGACTCGAACAACAGGTTGGTCACTGTCCTCTTCATCAACTCGAAGGGAGATCAAGAAGCCAGGGGCGTATCTAGGACCTTGCAATGCATCTGCAAGGAAGGGTGCACACTCAAGTGCCCTTATGCAGTGCTGGAAGTGCTGGTCAATTACGCCGGCCTCAAGGGCTCCCCGAACGCCATGATCTCAACGACGGCAAATGGCAAACAGAGGGCCACGAAGAAGGATCTGGTAGACGCCTGGCGCTCTTTGTATGGCACTCAGATCACAGGGCACTCTGCCAGGCGCTCCGGGGCGTTGCAGTACATCAGAAAAGGCTGGGCAGTTAGCCAAGTGGGCTACCTCGGGCGGTGGAAGAGTAACATCATACTCGAGTATGCCCAAGAAGCCTTAGAGTCGATGGCGGTGAACGTGGGAGTCGCCTTCGGACACTCGGACTACCTGAAGGATCCTTCGACGGTGGAAAAGGAAATCACCTCCCTCAGCAGCCGGCAGACAACACCCACTGGCGATCGCAACGACGAGGGCCACGAAGACAAGCGTGTCGTTGTCTCAAGACTGGCAGCAGAGCTACGCCTGTTCAAATCGGAATCCAAGGACGCCGTCAAAGGCCTTGGAGAAGCAATCAAAGAATTGGAGGCAAAGTTGGGCAACAACACGAAGTACCTGCCGCCACTTGTCAGGTCAGGACGTCACCAAGTTGTCCACAGAAACACGAGGACACTCGTCTACGCACATTCAGCCATGTGGAGGACGATATGCGGCTGGAACTACTACGGATCCACCTACGAGTTTGTCGAGGGTGACGCAACGATGGTTACATGCAACAAATGCATGTCGACCGCGCCGAGCAAAGAGGAATGTGAGTCGGTCGACAAAGACCATGGACCACTGGGTGTTGCAGCTGCCAACAAACAGCTGCAAATTCGATGATGACAACGCAGCTGAGGCATTCCAACACCACTCGAAAAGGCAAGCGCCTTCGCAGCTGTGGGGATGGGATGGATGGAGTTGTTTAACCCCACTGCACTGCATGTGTCGCGAAACAAAAACTGAAAGTTTTTGTGCAGGACAGAATGCAGGTGTTGTGGGTGCCATTTTGGCTCAAGAAACCCACACACCTGCAAGATGAATCTTTTCCACACCCACCCACCCATTTTAAGGGTGAGGAATGTGAGTCGGTCGACAAAGACCATGGACCACTGGGTGTTGCAGCTGCCAACAAACAGCTGCAAATTCGATGATGACAACGCAGCTGAGGCATTCCAACACCACTCGAAAAGGCAAGCGCCTTCGCAGCTGTGGGGATGGGATGGATGGAGTTGTTTAACCCCACTGCACTGCATGTGTCTGAAGTACATACATAACTTACATAACGTGTCTATATCCATGTATGATACTTGAAAGATACTATAGAGCCAAGATATGCCACCATTATTCCACCAGTCTTCTGTTACCTTAAAGATATGCATTTTCCTCGAAGCGTCCTGGCAGATGACCCCGTGGTGGTGAAGCCTAACCAACTCCGAAGCGCTTGGCCCCGATGCTGCTCGTCGTTGCATGAACTGATGACTTGTGGTTTGGGTGGGTTTGGTGCTTGCTGCCATCGGATGCCGTGGATAGATTTCTGGACATCAGTGGATAGTTTTGGGAGGTTCAAAGCCTTTCGAAGTTTGTGCACCGTCTCCATAGGGTGAAATCAAGTTGTGACATGTTGCTGCTACAGCATCTCAAAACCCTTGGTTGGTCAGATGGTCTATGGAAATCTTGGGAACCTTTCGCCCCTTGAACTTCATAGACACATTAGACGCTCTGTGGAAACAGTCTGTTGGGTGGTTAGATGATTTGAAAGGCCAAGAACGCCTTTGATATCGATTGCATGATGGCAGTGGCAGCCCGGCAAGCCCGGCAAGCCCGGCAAGCCCGGCAAGCCCGGCAAGCCCGGCAAGCCCGGCAAGCCCGGCAAGCCCGGCTGCCCTCATGAAATCCGTAGAATCTGTATGAACTTTCCCAAGTTCCCAGTGGTTTTCCCGCATGAGCGAGGTGTGATCGAACGTCTCACATCCATTGGTGACCGAGTGCACTTATGCGAGACCATGGGAACTGTGGAGGGCTTTGATGAAGATGGCAACTGGTCCAAATTCATACGATTTAGACAGCGACTGAAATGTTGCATGTGTGAAATCAGCATCATAGCGAGCCCCCAGGGAGCATGTCTCTTCCTGGGCTACCTATGGCTACCTAACTTTCAATGTAACATGCAGTTTCATGTATCCTGTGAACGTTGCAAAGCTCAGTCACAACTTCTCAAGGTGACTTCAAAGTGAAAATGTCGAATGGGCAGCCCGTCGTGTGGTATGCGCACAAATGCTTGGCACCCAGTGGCCCAGTGGTTGTGAAAGATTGCAGAAGTGAGATTGAAAGAGGGAGAGCAGGTAGTTGTGGCTTCTTTACGATGGATTTTGAAGGAACCAAAAGGATTGAGAAATTGTATCACCACATAACGCAATTTATCTTAAAGATTCTCAAAGTAGCTATGAGAAAGCAGTCTTCCGGGCCAGCATCTATGAAAACATGAGGCATGCCCTCAAAAGGTGTAGTGTTTATTTTGAAGAAGTGCAGTCTTCCTTTCAAACTATTCTGCCTTTCTTCTTGTGCATACAGACTTCCTGTCGAAAAGTCGCAGTATTCAATAAACATACACACACATGCAATATCCCACTTTTTTTGAAGGCACATTTTAAATTCAGAGACAACGATTTTTCGTTCACAAGTGGTGGTCTTCCTTTAGACAGGCCTTCCTTCAAGAAGCAGTATGCCTGGAAAATATGGAACATTCCCCCAAAATGGTGAAATGTTCGAAGTGGAGCTTTCTGTCAACAAATCCAGTCTTCCTTCAATGGGTATCCCTTTAAAAGGCGAAAATCCTGCACAGTATGCGGTGTGTTTAGTTTTGAACCCATAGCATTCCTGTCAAACAAATGCAATAACCAATGCACAAATGCAGTACTCCTTGGAAAAGATCATGTCAATTCCTTTATTCATTTTTTGCAAGGCAATAGCTTCTTGAAGGAAATATCTACTTAATTTCTACACATGGATATCGCATTCTTTACTCACATGTTGCATTCATCCGGAAGAGCATGTTACCTACGATACCACGCTTTCTTAACAAAAAGAGTCCTGCATACATAGAATTCTACTTTCTAGCAATGTTCATGGTCCGAAGTGCATGTTGCACCCTTTCCCATCACACTGTCCACCTTTTCAGAAGAAATAGTATACACACACACACACACACTTCTACCAAATTTTGCTTTAAGGAGTACCATACCCTTTCGAAAGAGTACTGCATAAACGGGTTCTACTTTTTCAACGTACCTTTCTAATAAAGTGCACTACTACCCTTTTCAAACAAATTTCGCGCATGTTGAAGGTCTCGTTGCGCTCTTTTAAAGGGAACGCACAAAATGAAATCACAACCTGTTGAAGGGAATCCCACAACCTTTTGAAGGAGTCCCACGCTGTTCGGAAAATAGAAGTGCACCAGGAGGTCCAGAAGACTCTATTCCATAGTCCTAGGCAATTCTTGACGAGATTTGCAACAAATTCGAGAAAACAAGAAAACTACGAAACACCGTTTCAAAGTATCGGTCGGTATTGGCAAAGTACCGGTTGAGCACAAATTACGTACTGGTTTACAAGATAAATGCCACAGGTTTCCAGTCACAAACAAGGGTTCTATTGTAGTTCTATTTTTTTTGCGCAAGTTTGGCCCCAGGAATTTTGCTGGGTCTTGGTGCTCAAGGCATTTGATGTATAATATAGCATATAGTACGCATGCTTTTCTCTGTGTTCTCCAAGTGTTGGGAAATCTGGACAAAACCTCCCGATGTTTGGCCAGTAGCTTCCATCATTGGCAAATGCTGTGACTGGACCTGGCACTTGTGGCTGAATCATATCCCGAATCGGCGTTTCACGTTCCGAGGCAAGCAAGGCATCGGTTGTTTGCCGAAGAAAAGTTTGGCAGATGAGCTTCTAGAAGAGCTTGGCATGAAGGAGCTGAAGAAACTGGGACTAACCGGACTAACCGGACTAACCCAATCTCAATCACAAAGTCATCCAAATGATCGGATGCACGCAGGGTGAAGCAAGGACACACAGTGTTGGAAGGTGCAAAATAGACTGTGGAACTGGAGATGCGATGTTAGTTGGAATATGTTGGATTTCTAGTTTTGTTGGTTCTCACAGCTGTGTAGGATTCCTCAGGTGGATTCCTCAACCAGCTCTGCGTCGACTTCCCTCATGTTGGAATCAAACCAGTCACGAACATGTGCAAAAATCATTTCGGACTGAAGGGAACGGCTCTTTTTTTTTCAAACTTTTACTGTTCGATTCTGCTGCAGGAATGGTGAGTACCTGGGCCATCAGGTAGATTTTCGCAGCTCAAAAATTGGGGCAGCGGATGATACCAATGTTAGTGTGCCCGTCCCTGTTGGTGACTCAAATGGCATCTATATATTAGGGGGTGCTGCGGCCTGTTTATTTGATGACTTGTGTTGAGGGGGGGTAAGAGCTTGGAACTATATATAAAACCTTTGGAACTATATATAAAATCTTTGGAACTATATATAAAACCTATATTTCATAACTTAACATAACTAAACTAACTTTCAAAAAATCAAGAAAATATTGGCTAAAACAAAAATCTGACAAAGATAGTTCAGAACGGTTCCGAACGGTTCCGAACTATATATAAAAAATACAGTGTAATATAGCTCAGAACGGTTCCGAACGGTTCCGAACTATATATAAAAACATGCAGTGTAATAAAGCTCAGAACGGTTCCGAACGGTTCCGAACTATATATAAAAAAATACATCAAAGATATAGTTCAGAACGGTTCCGAACGGTTCCGAACTACTTATTAATTAACATATCTTATATATAGTTCAGAACGGTTCGGAACGGGTCCGAACTATATTTGCTGCATGTTTTATATATAGTTCAGAACGGTTCCGAACGGTTCCGAACTATTTTTACATCGGAACTATTTGGAACTATTTGGAACTAATCGGAACTAATTGGATCTAATTGGAACTAAAAAGGTTTTGGACGCATATATAGTTCAGAACGGTTCCGAACGGTTCCGAACTATATTTAAAGCATATCTTATATATAGTTCAGAACGGTTCCGAACGGTTCCGAACTATATTTGCTGCATGTTTTATATATAGTTCAGAACGGTTCCGAACGGTTCTGAACTACTTCTGCAACTTGTTTTTATATATAGTTCAGAACGGTTCCGAACGGTTCCGAACTACTTTTCGCCAAAAAAAAATATAGAGTTCAGAACGGTTCCGAACGGTTCCGAACCAATACTGAGATGGTCTGTGTTTTTTTCATGTTTTTTTTTCCATTTTTTTGTTTTTTTTTCTGTCTTTTTTCCAACCAACATGACAAAGTCAATCAAGAAACCGTTACAAACTTAGAAGTTATAAGTCGTTTCCCCCTTGGTCAAAATCTTAAGATGACATGGTTAGAATGTGGCTTGGCAAAAAGGGATCTTGGAAAGAGCAGACGGAAGTATCATCCCATCCCACCACTGTCGAAGCAAAGCTGAGTAACAACCAAAGAGGCAAACTGGATATTCAGGCTCTCTGCTTCTCGGGTGTTAAGCATGGCCTTCTGGTGTGGCTCCAGATGGGACTCAGTGTAGAACTCCATCCCGCTTCCCAGCCCCAGCTTCTTCTGGCAATCCTTGACAAATTGCTGGCGTCGTTTGGATGCACTGATCACACCATCCTGGGAGCACAGGCTGACGAAACGCAGGGAATTTGTGGGCGTTTGACCTGGGGTCTGCCTAAGGTCTGTGGCGGACCTGTTGGCCAGTCCTCGAGAGGATATACCGAGATCGGTTTTATATATAGTTCCGAAGATTTTATATATAGTTCCAAAGGATTTAAATATAGTTCCGGTATATAGTTTAGTAAGGGACATTTTTTGACAATCCAGGACAGCAGTGGTTTTGGTGTTCCGGAAAACTGCCGGGAAAAAAGTCCACACTTAGAGGTCGTCTCACTTAGGAGGACCGGCGTCAGGCTGAGGTATAAACCAGGGCCCGGGACTGTTAAAAGATGATGTGTCTAGGCCACACGCGCTTTTTGCTGCTCAGGGTCCTTGGCTGCAGGAGGGAAATGCAACTTGTAGCCCGTCTTGTACTCGGAAGTGATCTCCACATGGCCCCGCACATCGGCCAAACCTGTCCTGACAGGAAAAACTTGGGTCAAAACATCCTCAATGGACTTCACCACGTCATTGAACACTTGGTAGGAAACCAAATCTTTGCGAGCCATCAAAATGTAGACCCGACGGCGGCTCTGTGGCAGCCCGAAATCGGCAGAACTCAGTGGCTGCCTGGGCTTGGACCGCTGAACTAGACTAGACTAGGTTGATGTTCTCAAAAACTAGATACAATGTGTGAATGTACAAGTGGACTTTGATTTTGTTTTCAGATTGAGCTCTTGTAAGCCACCAAGAAAGTAAGTCATCGCAATTGACAATTGTGCAACTTTCTGAGCTACGAATACATCTCTTTATACTGTACGAATGAAGTTTTACAGGGTCCGTCCATATCATACGACGCAAGAGTAAATCAACTTACTCAGACGACGCCTAAACTTTAACCTTTTTCCGGGAGATCACCCACTGAATAAGTCAATGTCTATATGGAATAGGAAGAGAAAATCTGAAAATGATTCTGGTGATAGCACGGTAAGGTTTAGTCATGAATCACAAGCATCCAAGTGTCTGGTGAGCGAGGTTTACTAACTTCTCGAATCTCCCAATTCATACAGTATGAATGAACATAACAATGATACTGTCAGTATGCTATGGCACCGTGCATCTGATGGTCAAGGAACTCAAGGTGGATTTCCTACAAGAAATAGCCATCGATCAAAGCCAGTCCCACAGGCTCGTCTCCAAGGAAACCGCGCAAGATGAAGTCGATCGGGGCCTGCAGGAATGTCACAACCAAACCAGAAGATAGGAACGCAAAATGATACCAACTACTTGGTTGTTACAAGTTGAAGATATTTTGCTACCAAGGATCTGTCACATCAACCATTTATAAATGTGGAGCCTTAGGGCAATTTTCAGCAGAAGGCTTGGAGCAACACATGGGGGAAAAAACTTTGGCCGGCCAGTTTTGCGAGAACTTTGCTTGAGAAATTGATATTTCCCAGTTTTCTCCGCAACAGAGTCGCACTGAGATCGACAAGATTCGTGAAATCATCAGAAATCATACAACATACATGTTGATATCTTTTACATAGCCCCTGAAATTCCTGAGATTCTAAATAAATTTCCTGAGAATTTATATATAGTTCCTGAGAATTTAAATATAGTTCCTGAGAATCTGTATATAGTTCCTGAGAATTTAAATATAGTTCCTGAAAATTTATATATAGTTCCAGATAGGGGGGGCTGTGGAACAGATAAACAGGCCACAGCACCCCCCAATCTATATAATATTAAATAATTACATTAAATACACTTAATACACATATATGATTTATATTGATTTATATGATATACATATCCGGGCCGTTAGTTGGCATAACTCATGAATGTTATTTCATGGTAGTGGACCTTGACTTGTTAACCTGTGGCATCGTTGATGCCTCGGCAACATGCTCTTGAGCCTCCAGCCCGCTGGGCATGATCATGGCCCTCACAGAGCACAGGTTTCACCCTTTCTCGCTGAGTTTCTCAGCGACTTGGTTGAGTCCCAGTTCCCACAGAGTGACGGCAAAGTCCTACACAGATCTGCGCAGAATGGAACTGGAGCGCGGAAAGAAATGTGCAGATGCTCAGATGCTCGTGCCGAGCCATGCCAGAAAAACACAACTAATATCACAAGCAGCGAGAACATGCGAGAACACGGATTTCACAACTAATATCACAACCTGATTTCCAGATTGTGGCCAAACCCTGCCCTGAGGCGGAGCAAGACCCGTGTCAATTAGGCATTTTTTTTTTGTGAAACCAAATTTTCTACTGTACGATGGAAATTGACATTGCTTGACATGGTCCATGGCTCCACTTTTTGCTCCGTTTTCGCAGCCGTTGGTTCGTTTGAAGCACTTTCTGGCCTTTCTTTTGGTCCCCTGTGAGTGCTGCGGGACTCAGAGCCACCCGGAGTAGCCAGAAACGCAGCCAAAACACTTGGAAGTCTGAAGAGCCTCACGTTGAAATTTAAGGCACTGGTTCTCCACAACTTAGACTGGGCAGAATCATCAAGCATCATCAAGGTAATATGCAATCATTGGGACTATTTGTATCGATTTGTGGGAATCGCTTTGTTTTCTTCGATCGTGATGCTTTGAGACCTTCAAGGAGGTTACGGTTGACTCCAGGACGAACATGTTGACTGAGACGCCGCACACAAGCGAGAAGAACTGAGGTTCTGCCTGATGCAGGATTTCGTTTTCTTCCCGGACTCTCGGCTCTGCTGTGAGACTCACATTTGCCTACATTTGCCTACAGCCTGTTTTTGTCCTTCAAATGGTAGTAGTAGATCCAATCAAACAAGGGAGATTTGTTCTTGTTTCATCGACGAAGGCCGTGGCCTCTGCCTTGTTTTGGTCAGTCCAATAGATTTCTGGCCTTGTGGATTCCTTTCCTCACGACTCCCGAAGTTATTAGCTGTTTCTTGACTTGATATCCCATTCAGCATGTATTCAGACACGCATCCGTTGCCTTGCATTAGGCCTTGCTTGCCCACAAGCCATCGCCGAGGTGAAACCTGTGAAGGTTTCAGTTCCTTCCGCCCAACGCAGCTCGTAGCAGTTAGGGGGTATACGGTATATGTGTTCTGCCAATCCTTTCTGGAGACATGTTTGCATTCCTTGCTCGGTTTCTGCTTGGACTTTGGGGTGTATCTGGGGCCGTGGTTTGATTGCAGAATGTTTGGATTCCATGGCTGAGAAAGTATGCTCTTCCGCATTCCACATCAAGTTCCTGGCGTTTCTGTTTCGCATCCAAGGTGGAAAACTGATCCCAGTTCTCCTCCCCGTGATCATCTGTTTGCTTTTCATGGTATTCCTGAGGACCGGAAAGTGGATTGAGTGGATGAATGAATCTTCAGGAATCTGTTTTACTGTTCCCAACGTGTTTTCAAGGTGTTTTAGACGGAAAAGGGATGAAAAGGGGATAAAGTCAGACGAGGGCGTCGGTTTCTGAATGCTTTTGCTGAAAAGTGTGTGTTGAGTTCATTGACATCGGCCCGCAGATTTGATCTCCAGGACGTGCCGCCGACGCCGGGCTGCTCAGGGGAATGGAAGAGCGCGGGGCACGCTGCTGACGTCGTTGCGTTTGGAGCCCCAGTGGTGTTTCGGAGCCATGTGACGATTACAGTTTTTGGATGTTTTTGGGGTTGAGGTCTGAGATAGATGGATTACTAAAGATTACTTGAGATTTCTTTGCAATACTTTGCAACTATATTTGAATTACGTGGGACTCATTTATCCGGTGCATTGTCACATGTCCTCACCGCTTTTGTAAGATCCTCTTAAGATTGAGCTTCTGAGTGCAGCTGATGACCAGTGCAGCTTGCTCACTTGCCACGAGGTGTTTCGAAGCGTGCGCAAGATGGAAAGAAGGTCTGGATGACAAAAAAATCCTTGGTGCTGGAATCCTGAAGCTCCTTTTGCTGCCAGCCTGGCCTTCAACTTCCAACTCATGGCCACAGACAGGAAAAACATGGGAAACCAATGGAAACCAATGAATTACTTGAGCAGCTTTCAAACAGTAGTAGACCACGTGGAATCTGCTCATTCTAACAAGATTTGTGAGACGGTGCCAACCGTCTTGTTTGCAAGCTTTAAGTAAATTCCTTGCAAGTTCTAAAATGATCCAAATCATCTACGATGAAACATTTTCGGCAATCTTATGGCAACCAAGCAACAAGGCATTCGCCTAAAAGGTGCTGAAAGAAAGAGTGGTTGTGAGCACCACTTGCCTTTGGCGCATTTGAGCCATTTTTAACGTCGTTACAGAGCCTTACAGTATGACAAATGGGTCAAGGCAGGTCTGAAACATGAACTGTGCCAGGTCGCCACAGCCGTGTTGAAGCCCATCGAGCGGGCCATGCAGCCCTGGATCGATGGCCCAAGGCGCACCCGGCGCACCCAGCGCACCCGGCGCACCCCAGCTATGCTCGATGCATGTTTCCGTGCTTCGTTGTTGGGGTTCGGCGCAGCAAGACGCTTCGGCATGTGACGGTGCTGTGATACACAGGAGCGTGGAGTACGATCTCAACATATTCACGGTGGGTGGCAGAGTGACCGATGTTTGTCGGGGACCTTAGTCTCAAAGCAGAGTGTGGCTCACATACGTACGCCCTGGCACGCCCTGGCACGCCCTGGCACGCCCTGGCACGCCCTGGCACATGCAAGTGTCGAAACTTGTGGTTTCCCAGGGTTTCATGCAGGGCATGGATTGGATTTGGTGCTTGCACTTTCTTGCATGTCGTATCGTCATGCCATGAAGTCATCCCAGGCGGAACGAAAGCGACAATCGTCGGCGTGGACGAAGACGGAGACCTTCCTGTCTTCACCGACGATGGGAAGACGATGGTTACCTGATGCAGCATGTGGCTGCAAGTTCGGGAACGGCAGTGTGGACCACGCATCCCAACCAGTCCAACATTGCAACTGCAGAAATCGGACGTCCAAACAACATCGAACTTAACTATCAACTCATTTGCAAAGTCTTCCAATGTGTTGTTGCAGATCCGTTGGATACTTTCTAGGAGCACTAGTAGAGGTTTTGCATTCTGAGTCTGTTGTCAATATGCGAATGTTATTGTAGTGACACAAAAATATCAAGCACATTGGTAGAGCATTGTGCCATTCCGCGTAGTTGTACATGTACGAGTTCCATCCAACTGCACAATTGGATTCGTTCGGAATTACGCAGTGGGGACAATGATCAGATAGTAAGACATAGTTGACATAGTAAGACAGTGTAAGTGTAAGACTCAACATGGGACTGATAGATGTGGTTCAGTCTTGGCTGCCGACATTGCCAGCATTTGCTGTTCTTCCGAACTCTTCCTGCCCGGCTCAGATTTTCTATGCAAAGAATTGCCGGAAGGCAATCAGTGTTGGAGACCGGGTCTTCAACACCAGGAGAGAAGAAGTGGCCGAAGTCATTGGCTTCGACCACATGGGTGCGCATCCGTTTGTTGGAACGTGGGGGCCAGGAGCGGACGGGTTCCAAATCTTGGATTGAATCAGAAAAGATCATAAATGCAACAGTAGTTCCAAAGGTTTCATGTTCAGAGACACGTCAAAAGATGGCGACACATATTTCCTCCCAGTGTCCTAGTCACGCATTTTTGCCACATTTATGGATGTGGTTGTGTGAAGTACATACATAACTTACACAACATGTCTATATCCATGTATGATACTTGAAAGATACTATAGAGCCAAGATATGCCACCATTATGCCACCAGTCTTCTGTTACCTCAAAGATATGCATGTTCCTCGAAGCGTCCTGGCAGATGACCCCGTGGTGGTGAAGCCTAACCAACTCCGAAGCGCTTGGCCCCGATGCTGCTCGTCGTTGCATGAACTGATGACTTGGGGTTTGGGTGGGTTTGGTGCTTGCTGCCATCGGATGCCGTGGATAGATTTCTGGACATTTTCGAAGTTTGCGCACCGTCTCCATAGGGTGAAATCAAGTTGTGACATGTTGCTGCTACAGCATCTCAAAACCCTTGGTTGGTCAGATGGTCTATGGAAATCTTGGGAACCTTTCGCCCCTTGAACTTCATAGACACATTAGACGCTCTGTGGAAACAGTCTGTTGGGTGGTTAGATGATTTGAAAGGCCAAGAACGCCTTTGATATCGATTGCATGATGGCAGTGGCAGCCCCGCAAGCCCGGCAAGCCCGGCAAGCCCGGCAAGCCCGGCAAGCCCGGCAAGCCCGGCAAGCCCGGCTGCCCTCATGAAATCCGTAGAATCTGTATGAACTTTCCCAAGTTCCCAGTGGTTTTCCCGCATGAGCGAGGTGTGATCGAACGTCTCACATCCATTGGTGACCGAGTGCACTTATGCGAGACCATGGGAACTGTGGAGGGCTTTGATGAAGATGGCAACTGGTCCAAATTCATACGATTTAGACAGCGACTGAAATGTTGCATGTGTGAAATCAGCATCATAGCGAGCCCCCAGGGAGCATGTCTCTTCCCGGGCTACCTATGGCTACCTAACTTTCAATGTAACATGCAGTTTCATGTATCCTGTGAACGTTGCAAAGCTCAGTCACAACTTCTCAAGGTGACTTCAAAGTGAAAATGTCAAATGGGCAGCCCGTCGTGTGGTATGCGCACAAATGCTTGGCACCCAGTGGCCCAGTGGTTGTGAAAGATTGCAGAAGTGAGATTGAAAGAGGGAGAGCAGGTAGTTGTGGCTTCTTTACGATGGATTTTGAAGGAACCAAAAGGATTGAGAAATTGTATCACCACATAACCAATTTATCTTAAAGATTCTTAAAGTAGCTATGAGAAAGCAGTCTTCCGGGCCAGCATCTATGAAAACATGAGGCATGCCCTCAAAAGGTGCAGTGTTTTATTTTGAGGAAGTGCAGTCTTCCTTTCAAACTATTCTGCCTTTCTTCTTGTGCATACAGACTTCCTGTCGAAAAGTCGCAGTATTCAATAAACATACACACACACATGCAATATCCCAATTTTTTTAAAGGATCATTTTAAATTCAGAGACCGATTTTTCCTTCACGAGCGGTGGTCTTCCTTTAGACAGGCCTTCCTTCAAGAAGCAGTATGCCTGGAAAATATGGAACATTCCCCCAAAATGGTGAAATGTTCGAAGTGGAGTCTTTCTGTCAACAAATCCAGTCTTCCTTCAATGGGTACCCCTTTAAAAGGCGAACATCCTGCACAGTATGCGGTGTGTTTAGTTTAACCTGTAGCATTCCTGTCAAACAAATGCAATAGCCAATGCACAATTGCAGTACTCCTTGGAAAAGATCATGTCAATTCCTTTATTCATTTTTTGCAAGGCAATAGCTTCTTGAAGGAAATATCTACTTAATTTCTACACATGGATATCGCATTCTTTACTCACATGTTGCATTCATCCGGAAGGGCATGTTACCTACGATACCACGCTTTCTTAACAAAAAGAGTCCTGCATACATAGAATTCTACTTTCTAGCAATGTTCATGGTCCGAAGTGCATGTTGCACCCTTTCCCATCACACTGTCCACCTTTTCGGAAGAAATAGTACACACACACACACTTCTACCAAATTTTGCTTTAAGGAGTACCATACCCTTTCGAAAGAGTACTGCATAAACGGGTTCTACTTTTTCAACGTACCTTTCTAATAAAGTGCACTACTACCCTTTTCAAACGAAATTCGCACATGTTGAAGGTCTCTGTAAAAGCATCCCTCTCAAAGAGACGTTGCGCTCTTTTAAAGGGAACGCACAAAATGAAATCACAACCTGTTGAAGGGAATCCCACAACCTTTTGAAGGAGTCCCACGCTGTTCGGAAATAGAAGTGCACCAGGAGGTCCAGAAGACTCTATTCCATAGTCCTAGGCAATTCTTGACGAGATTTGCAACAAATTCGAGAAAACAAGAAAACTACGAAACACCGTTTCAAAGTATCGGTCGGTATTGGCAAAGTACCGGTTGAGTACAAATTACGTATTGGTTTACAAGATAAATACCCCAGGTTTCCAGTCACAAACAGAGGGTTCATTTTTTGCGCAAGTTTGGCCCCAGGAATTTTGCTGGTCTTGGTGCTCAAGGCATTTGATGTATATAGCATATAGATATATAGTACGCATGCTTTTCCCTGTATTCTCCAAGTGTTGGGAAATTTGGACAAAACCTCCCCATGTTTGGCCAGTAGCTTCCATCGTTGGCAAATGCTGTGACTGGACCGCCTTTGTCACATGCAGAACAAAGTGGCACTTGTGGCTGAATCATATCCCGAATCGGCGTTTCACGTTCCGAGGCAAGCAAGGCATCGGTTGTTTGCCGAAGAAAAGTTTGGCAGATGAGCTTCTAGAAGAGCTTGGCATGAAGGAGCTGAAGAAACTGGGACTAACCGGACTAACGGGACTAACCCAATCTCAATCACAAAGTCATCCAAATGATCGGATGCACGCAGGGTGAAGCAAGGACACACAGTGTTGGAAGTTGCAAAATAGACTGTGGAACTGGAGATGCGATGTTAGTTGGAATATGTTGGATTTCTATGGATTTCTAGTTTTGTTGGTTCTCACAGCTGTGTAGGATTCCTCAGGTGGATTCCTCAACCAGCTCTGCGTCGACTTCCCTCATGTTGGAATCAAGCCAGTCACGAACATGTGCAAAAATCATTTCGGACTGAGCGGAACGGCTCTTTTTTTTTCAAACTTTTACTGTTCGATTCTGCTGCAGGAATGGTGAGTACCTGGGCCATCAGGTAGATTTTCGCAGCTCAAAAATTGGGGCAGCGGATGATACCAATGTTAGTGTGCCCGTCCCTGTTGGTGACTCAAATGGTATCTATAATATTATATACACTTAATACACATAATTATACAATGATTTATATTGATTTATATTGATTTATATTGATTTATATGATATACATATCCGGGCCGTTAGTTGGCATAATTCATGAATGTTACTTCATGGTAGTGGACCTTGACTTGTTAACCTGTGACATCGGTGATGCCTCGGCAACATGTTCTTGAGCCTCCAGCCCGTTGGGCATGATGCTGGCCCTCACAGAGCACAGGTTTCACCCTTTCTCGCTGAGTTTCTCAGCGACTTGGTTGAGTCCCAGTTCCCAGAGAGTGACGGCAAAGTCCTACACAGATCTGCGCAGAATGGAACTGGAGCGCGGAAAGAAATGTGCTCGTGCCCAGCCACGCCAGAAAACCACAACTAATATCACAAGCAGCGAGAACACGGAGGTTGATTTCACCTGATTTCCAGATTGTGGCCAAACCCTGCCCTGAGGCGGAGCAAAACCCGTGTCAATTAGGCATTTTTTTTTTGTGAAGCCAAGTTTTCTACTGTACGATGGAAATTGACATTGCTTGACATGGTCCATGGCTCCACTTTTTGCTCCGTTTTCGCAGCCGTTGGTTCGTTTGAAGCACTTTCTGGCCTTTCTTTTGGTCCCCTGTGAGTGCTGCGGGACTCAGAGCCACCCGGAGTAGCCAGAAACGCAGCCAAAACACTTGGAAGTCTGAAGAGCCTCACGTTGAAATTTAAGGCACTGGTTCTCCACAACTTAGACTGGGCAGAATCATCAAGCATCATCAAGGTAATATGCAATCATTGGGACTATTTGTATCGATTTGTGGGAATCGCTTTGTTTTCTTCGATCGTGATGCTTTGAGACCTTCAAGGAGGTTACGGTTGACTCCAGGACGAACATGTTGACTGAGACGCCGCACACAAGCGAGAAGAACTGAGGTTCTGCCTGATGCAGGATTTCGTTTTCTTCCCGGACTCTCGGCTCTGCTGTGAGACTCACATTTGCCTACATTTGCCTACAGCCTGTTTTTGTCCTTCAAATGGTAGTAGTAGATCCAATCAAACAAGGGAGATTTGTTCTTATTGTTTCATCGACGAAGGCCGTGGCCTCTGCCTTGTTTTGGTCAGTCCAATAGATTTCTGGCCTTGTGGATTCCTTTCCTCACGACTCCCGAAGTTATTAGCTGTTTCTTGACTTGATATCCCATTCAGCATGTATTCAGACACGCATCAGTTGCCTTGCATTCGGCCTTGCTTGCCCACAAGCCATCGCTGAAGTGAAACCTGTGAAGGTTTCAGTTCCTTCCGCCCAACGCAGCTCGTAGCAGTTAGGGGGTATACGGTATATGTCAATCCTTTCTGGAGACATGTTTGCATTCCTTGCTCGGTTTCTGCTTGGACTTTGGGGTGTATCTGGGGCCGTGGTTTGATTGCAGAATGTTTGGATTCCATGGCTGAGAAAGTATGCTCTTCCGCATTCCACATCAAGTTCCTGGCATTTCTGTTTCGCATCCAAGGTGGAGAACTGATCCCAGTTCTCCTCCCCGTGATCATCTGTTTGCTTTTCATGGTATTCCTGAGGACCGGAAAGTGGATTGAGTGGATGAATGAATCTTCAGGAATCTGTTTTACTGTTCCCAACGTGTTTTCAAGGTGTTTTAGACGGAAAAGGGATGAAAAGGGGATAAAGTCAGACGAGGGCGTCGGTTTCTGAATGCTTTTGCTGAAAAGTGTGTGTTGAGTTGATTGACATCGGCCCGCAGATTTGATCTCCAGGACGTGCCGCCGACGCCGGGCTGCTCAGGGGAATGGAAGAGCGCGGGGCACGCTGCTGACGTCGTTGCGTTTGGAGCCCCAGTGGTGTTTCGGAGCCATGTGACGATTACAGTTTTTGGATGTTTTTGGGGTTGAGGTCTGAGATAGATGGATTACTAAAGATTACTTGAGATTTCTTTGCAATACTTTGCAACTATATTTGAATTACGTGGGACTCATTTATCCGGTGCATTGTCACATGTCCTCACCGCTTTTGTAAGATCCTCTTAAGATTGAGCTTCTGAGTGCAGCTGATGACCAGTGCAGCTTGCTCACTTGCCACGAGGTGTTTCGAAGTGTGAAGCGCAAGATGGAAAGAAGGTCTGGATGACAAAAAAATCCTTGGTGCTGAATCCTGAAGCTTGGCAATGCACACCTGAGTCCTAGACGGGTAATAAAAAGAACATCCTAGGTCTGTGCTGCACTCCTTTTGCTGCCAGCCTGGCCTTCAACTTCCAACTCATGGCCACAGACAGGAAAAACATGGGAAACCAATGGAAACCAATGAATTACTTGAGCAGCTTTCGAACAGTAGTAGACCACGTGGAATCTGCTCATTCTAAGAAGATTTGTGAGACCCAAAGCATCTACGATGAGACATTTTTGGCAATATATTTGGGCAACCCGGAAAGAACGCAGTTGATTGAAAGGTGCTGAAAATGGAAAGGGTGGCATTTGTGCCATTTTTAACGTCCTTACAATACGACTCCAAATGGGCCAAGGCATGTCTGAAACATGAACTGTGCCAGGTCGCCAAAGAGTTGAAACCATTTGAAGCCTATCGAGCGGGCTGGATCGATGGACCAAGGCCCACCTGGCGCACCCGGCGCACCTGACTATGCTCAATGCATATTTTTCGGTGCTTCGTTGTTGGGTTCGGCGCAGCAAGACACTTCGGCATGTGACGCTGTGATACACAGGAGCGTGGAGTATGACTGAATAGGTCATAGTCATACTCCACGCTCCTGTGTATCACAGCACCGTGGGTGGGAGAATCCCGGATGTTTGTCAGGGACCTCAGTCTCAAAGCAGAGTGTGGCTCACACACGCCCTGGCACATCCTAGCACATGCAAGTGTCGGAACTTCTCATGCAGGACATGGATTGGATTTGGTGCTTGCAGTTTCTTGCATGTCGTATCGTCATGCCATGAAGTCATCCCGGCGGAACGAAAGCGACAATTGTTGGTGTGGACGAAGACGGAGACCTTCCGGTCTTCACCGACGATGGGAAGACGATGGCTACCTGATGCAGCATGTGGCTGCAAGTTCGGGAACGACAGTGTAGACTACGCATCCCAACCAGTCCAACATTGCAACTGCAGAAATCGGATGTCCAACAACACCGAACAACTCATTTGCGAAGTCTTCCAATGTGTTGTTACAGATCCGTTGGATACTTTCTAGGAGCACTAGTAGAGGTTTTGCATTCTGAGTCTGTTACTGTAGTGACTATTAGTGGCACAAAAATATCAAGCACCATCGGGCAGAGGAATGCTGGGGTCAAGCGTGGTTGTGGTGATATTGGCTGGTGGATGCCTGAGATCTTGGAGTTGTTTTCACACCATGCGGCGCGGCTGTCAGAAGTTCTTCAGGTTTGGCATGGGGTCTATGCATGATTGTGAGTGGGAATTGTCGAAGGGGAACACATTGAACACACTGCGAATAAATGTGCAGGGTACTCGTCAGCTGTGATCAGACAGTAAGACATAGTTGACATAGCAAGACAGTGTAAGATTCAACGTGGACTGATACGTGTGGATCAGTCTTGGCTGCCGACATTGCCAGCATTTGCTGTTCTTCCGAACTCTTCCTGCCCGGCGTAGATTTTCTACGCGAAGAATATATAGTTCTTGGCGTAGAAGATCTGAGCCGGGCAGGAAGGCTCTCAGTGTTGGAGACCGGATAATATGGTCGAAGCCAATGACTTCCGCATCCGTTTGCTGGAACGTGGGGGCCAGGAGCGGACGGGTTCCAAATCTTGGATTAAATCGGAAAAGATCATACATGCAACAAGAGTTCCAATAGTTCCAAAGGTTTCATGTTCAGAGACACGTCAAAAGATGGTGACACATATTTCCTCCCAGTGTCCTAGTCCCACATGTTTGCCACATTTATGGATGTGGTAGTATAAAGATGTATAAAGTACATACCAGTACATAAATATGCCAATATGATCCAATATGCATAACGTATCTATGTCCCTATATGATACTTGAAACATAGAGCCAAGATGTGCCACCAGTCTTCTGTTACCTCCAAGATATGCATTTTCTTCGAAGCGTCCTGGCAGATGACCCGGTGGTGGTGAAGCCTAACCAACTCCGAAGCGCTTGGCCCCGATGCTGCTCGTCGTTGCATGAACTGATGACTTGGGGTTTGGGTGGGTTTGGTGCTTGCTGCCATCGGATGCCGTGGATAGATTTCTGGACATCAGTGGATAGTTTTGGGAGGTTCAAAACCTTTCGAAGTTTGTGCACCGTCTCCATAGGGTGAAATCAAGTTGTGACATGTTGTGACAGCATCTCCAAACCCTTGGTCAGATGGTCTATGGAAATCTTGGGAACCTTTCGCCCCTTGAACTTCATAGACACATTAGACGCTCTGTGGAAACAGTCTGTTGGGTGGTTAGATGATTTGAAAGGCCAAGAACGCCTTTGATATCGATTGCATGATGGCAGTGGCAGCCCCGCAAGCCCGGCAAGCCCGGCAAGCCCGGCAAGCCCGGCTGCCCTCATGAAATCCGTAGAATCTGTATGAACTTTCCCAAGTTCCCAGTGGTTTTCCCGCATGAGCGAGGTGTGATCGAACGTCTCACATCCATTGGTGACCGAGTGCACTTATGCGAGACCATGGGAACTGTGGAGGGCTTTGATGAAGATGGCAACTTGTCCAAATTCATACGATTTAGACAGCGACTGAAATGTTGCATGTGTGAAATCAGCATCATAGCGAGCCCCCAGGGAGCATGTCTCTTCCTGGGCTACCTATGGCTACCTAACTTTCAATGTAACATGCAGTTTCATGTATCCTGTGAACGTCGCAAAGCTCAGTCACAACTTCTCAAGGTGACTTCAAAGTGAAAATGTCTAATGGGCAGCCCGTCGTGTGGTATGCGCACAAATGCTTGGCACCCAGTGGTTGTGAAAGATTGCAGAAGTGAGACTGAGAAAAGAGAGCAGGTAGTTGTGGCTGCATGCGTAATTGTGGATCTTTACGATGGATTTTGAAGGAACCAAAAGGATTGAGAAATTGTTTCACCACATAACGCAATTTATCTTAAAGATTCGTAAAGTAGCTATGAGAAAGCAGTCTTCCGGGCCAGCATCTATGAAAACATGAGGCATGCCCTCAAAAGGTGCAGTGTTTTATTTTGAGGAAGTGCAGTCTTCCTTTCAAACTATTCTGCCTTTCTTGTGCATACAGACTTCCTGTCGAAAAATCGCAGTATTCAATAAACATACACACACACAATCACACACACATGAAATATTCCACTTTTTTTAAAGGAACATTTTAAATTCAGAGACAGCGATTTTTCGTTCACAAGCGGTGGTCTTCCTTTGAGACAGGCCTTCCTTCAAGAAGCAGTATGCCTGGAAAATAGGGAGATATATGGAGCATTCCCCCAAAACGGTGAAATGTTCGAAGTGGAGTCTTTCTGTCAACAAATCCAGTCTTCCTTCAATGGGTATCCCTTTAAAAGGCGAAAATCCTGCACAGTATGCGGTGTGTTTGGTTTTAACCCATAGCATTCCTGTCAAACAAATGCAATAACCAATGCACAAATGCAGTACTCCTTGGAAAAGATCATGTCAATTCCTTTATTCATTTTTTGCAAGGCAATAGCTTCTTGAAGGAAATATCTACTTAATTTCCACACAGGGATATCGCATTCTTTACTCACATGTTGCATTCATCCGGAAGGGCATGTTACCTACGATACCTTTCTTAACAAAAAGAGTCCTGCATACATAGAATTCTACTTTCTGACAATGTTCATGGTCCGAAGTGCATGTTGCACTCTTTCCCATCACATTGTTCACCTTTTCGGAAGAAATAGTACACACACACACACTTCTACCAAATTTTGCTTTAAGGAGTACCATACCCTTTCGAAAGAGTACTGCATAAACGGGTTCTACTTTTTCAACGTACCTTTCTAATAAAGTGCACTACTACATTTTTCAAACGAAGTTCGCGCATGTTGAAGGTCTCTGTAAAAGCATCCCTCTCAAAGAGACGTTGCGCTCTTTAAAAGGGAACGCACAAAATGAAATCACAACCTGTTGAAAGGAATCCCGCAACCTGTTGAAGGAGTCCCACGTTGTTCGGAAAATAGAAGTGCACCAGGAGGTCCAGAAGACTCTATTCGATAGTCTTAGGCAATTCTTGACGAGAGTTGCAACAAATTCGAGAAAACAAGAAAACTACGAAACACCGTTTCAAAGTATCGGTCGGTATTGGTAAAGTACGGGTTGAGTACAAATTACGTACTGGTTTACAAGATAAATACCCCAGGTTTCCAGTCACAAACAGAGGGTTCATTTTTTGTGCAAGTTTGGCCCCAGGAATTTTGCTGGGTCTTGGTGCTCAAGGCATTTGATGTATATAGCATATAGTACGCATGCTTTTCCCTGTGTTCTCCAAGTGTTGGGAAATTTGGACAAAACCTGCCCATGTTTGGCCAGTAGCTTCCATCGTTGGCAAATGCTGTGACTGGACCGCCTTTGTCACATGCAGAACAAAGTGGCACTTGTGGCTGAATCATATCCCGAATCGGCGTTTCACGTTCCGAGGCAAGCAAGGCATCGGTTGTTTGCCAAAGAAAAGCTTGGCAGATGAGCTTCTAGAAGAGCTTGGCATGAAGGAGCTGAAGAAACTGGGACTAACCGGACTAACCGGACTAACCGGACTAACCCAATCTCAATCACAAAGTCATCCAAATGATCGGATGCACGCAGGGTGAAGCAAGGACACACAGTGTTGGAAGTTGCAAAATAGACTGTGGAACTGGAGATGCGATGTTAGTTGGAATATGTTGGATTTCTATGGATTTCTAGTTTTGTTGGTTCTCACAGCTGTGTAGGATTCCTCAGGTAGATTCCTCAACCAGCTCTGCGTCGACTTCCCTCATGTTGGAATCAAGCCAGTCACGAACATGTGCAAAAATCATTTCGGACTGAGCGGAACGGCTCTTTTTTTTTCCAAAGTTTTAACGTTCGATTCTGTTGCAGGAATGGCAGTGAGTACCTTGGCCATCAGGTAGATTTTCGCAGCTCAAAAATGGGGCAGCTGATGATACCAATGCTAGTGTGCCCGTCCCTGTTGGTGACTCAAATGGCATCTATGTAATATTAAATACACTTAATACACATATATGATTTATATGATATGATATACATATCCGGGCCGTGAGTTGGCATAGTTCATGAATGTTACTTCATGGTAACCTTTGACATCGATGATGCCTCGGCAACATGTTCTTGAGCCTCCAGCCGGTTGGGCATGATGATGGCCCTCACAGAGCACACTGTGCTCTGTGAGGGCCATCATCATGCCCAACCGGCTGGAGGCTCAAGAACATGTTGCCGAGGCATCAACGATGTCACAAGTTAACAAGTCAGCGACTTTCTCGCTGAGTTTCTCAGCGACTTGGTTGAGTCCCAGTTCCCACAGAGTGACGGCAAAGTCCTACACAGATCTGCGCAGAATGGAACTGGAGCGCGGAAAGAAATGTGCAGATGCTCAGATGCTCGTGCCGAGCCATGCCAGAAAAACACAACTAATATCACAAGCAGCGAGAACATGCGAGAACACGGAGGTTGATTTCACCTGTTTTCCAGAATGTGGCCAAACCCTGCCCTGAGGCGGAGCAAGACCCGTGTCAATTAGGCATTTTTTTTTGTGAAACCAAGTTTTCTACTGTACGATGGAAATTGACATTGCTTGACATGGTCCATGGCTCCACTTTGCTCCATTTTCGCAGCCGTTGGTTCGTTTGAAGCACTTCCTGGCGTTTCTTCTGGTCCCTTGTGAGTGCTGCGGGACTCAGAGCCACCCGGAGTAGCCAGAAACGCAGCCAAAACACTTGGAAGTCTGAAGAGCCTCACGTTGAAATTTAAGGCACTGGTTCTCCACAACTTAGACTGGGCAGAATCAGCAAGCAAGGTAATATGCAATCATTGGGACTATTTGTATCTATTTGTATCGATTTGTGGAAATCGTTTTGTTTTCTTCGATCGTGATGCTTTGAGACCTTCAAGGAGGTTACGGTTGACTCCAGGACGAACATGTTGACTGAGACGCGCGCGCACACAAGCGAGAAGAACTGAGGTTCTGCCTGATGCAGGATTTCGTTTTCTTCCCGGACTCTCGGCTCAGCTGTGAGACTCACATTTGCCTACATTTGCCTACAGCCTGTTTTTCTCCTTCAAATGCTAGATCCAATCAAAGAAGGGAGATTTGTTCTTGTTTCATCGACGAAGGCCGTGGCCTCTGCCTTGTTTTGGTCAGTCCAATAGATTTCTGGCCTTGTAGATTCCTTTCCTCACGATTCCCAAAGTTATTAGCTGTTTCTTGACTTGATATCCCATTCAGCATGTATTCAGACACGCATCCGTTGCCTTGCATTCGGCCTTGCTTGCCCACAAGCCATCGCCGAGGTGAAACCTGTGAAGGTTTCAGTTCCTTCCGCCCAACGCAGCTCGTAGCAGTTAGGGGGTATACGGTATATGTCAATCCTTTCTGGAGACATGTTTGCATTCGTTGCTCGGTTTCTGCTTGGACTTTGGGGTGTATCTGGGGCCGTGGTTTGATTGCAGAATGTTTGGATTCCATGGCTGAGAAAGTATGCTCTTCCGCATTCTCAAGTTCCTGGCGTTTCTGTTTCGCATCCAAGGAGGAGAACTCCCAGTTCTCCTCCCCGTGATCATCTGTTTGCTTTTCATGGTATTCCTGAGGACCGGAAAGTGGATTGAGTGGATGAATGAATCTTCAGGAATCTGTTTTACTGCTCCCAACGTGTTTTAAAGGTGTTTTAGACGGAAAAGGGATGAAAAGGGGATAAAGTCAGACGAGGGCGTTGGTTTCTGAATGCTTTTGCTGAAAAGTGTGTGTTGAGTTGATTGACATCGGCCCGCACATTTGATCTCCAGGACGTGCCGCCGACGCAGGGCTGCTCAGGGGAATGGAAGAGCGCGGGGCACGCTGCTGACGTCGTTGCGTTTGGAGCCCCAGTGGTGTTTCGGAGCCATGTGACGATTACAGTTTTTGGATGTTTTTGGGGTTGAGGTCTGAGATAGATGGATTACTAAAGATTACTTGAGATTTCTTTGCAATACTTTGCAACTATATTTGAATTACGTGGGACTCATTTATCGGATGCGTTGTCACATCCTCACCGCTTTTGTAAGATCCTCTCAAGATTGAACTTCTGAGTGCAGCTGATGACCAGTGCAGCTTGCTCACTTGCCACGAGGTGTTTCGAGGCGTGAAGCGCAAGATGGACAGAAGGTGTGGATGACAAAAAATCCTTGGTGCTGGAATCCTGAAGCTTGGCAATGCACACCTGAGTCCTACACGGGTAATAAAAAGAACATCCTAGGTCTGTGCTGCACTCCTTTTGCTGCCAGCCTGGCCTTCAACTTCCAACTCATGGCCACAGACAGGAAAAACATGGGAAACCAATGGAAACCAATGAATTACTTGAGCAGCTTTCAAACAGTAGTAGACCACGTGGAATCTGCTCATTCTAACAAGATTTGTGAGACGGTGCCAACCGTCTTGTTTGCAAGCTTTAAATAAATTCCTTGCAAGTTCTAAAGTGATCCAAATCATCTACGATGAAACATTTTCGGCAATCTTATGGCAACCAAGCAACAAGGCATTTGGCTGAAAGGTGCTGAAAATGGAAAGAGTGGTTGTGAGCACCACTTGCCTTTGACGCATTTGAGCCATTTTTAACGTGTTACAGAGCCTTACAGTATGACACAGTATGACAAATGGGTCAAGGCAGGTCTGAAACATGAACTGTGCCAGGTCGCCACAGCCGTGTTGAAGCCCATCGAGCGGGCCATGCAGCCCTGGATCGATGGCCCAAGGCGCACCCGGCGCACCCAGCGCACCCGGCGCACCCGGCGCACCCGGCGCACCCCACCTATGCTCGATGCATTTTTCGGTGCTTCGTAAGACGCTTCGGCATGTGACGGTGCTGTGATACACAGGAGCGTGGAGTACGATCTCAACATATTCACGGTGGGTGGCAGAGTGACCGATGTTTGTCGGGGACCTTAGTCTCAAAGCAGAGTGTGGCTCACATACGCCCTGGCACGCCCTGGCACATGCAAGTGTCGAAACTTGTGGTTTCCCAGGGTTTCATGCAGGACATGGATTGGATTTGGTGCTTGCAGTTTCTTGCATGTCGTATCGTCATGCCGTGAAGTCATCCCAGGCGGAACGAAAGCGACGATCGTCGGCGTGGACGAAGACGGAGACCTTCCTGTCTTCACCGACGATGGGAAGACGATGGTTACCTGATGCAGCATGTGGCTGCAAGTTCGGGAACGGCAGTGTGGACCACGCATCCCAACCAGTCCAACATTGCAACTGCAGAAATCGGACGTCCAAACAACATCAAACTTAATTATCAACTCATTTGCAAAGTCTTCCAATGTGTTGTTGCAGATCCGTTGGATACTTTCTAGGAGCACTAGTAGAGGTTTTGCATTCCGAGTCTGTTGTCAATATGTGAATGTTATTGTAGTGACACAAAAATATCAAGCACATTGGTAGAGCATTGTGCCATTCCGCGTAGCTGTACAGGTACGAATTCCACCCAACTGCACAATTGGATGCACTTGTAATTACGCAATTGTGACAGTGATCAGATAGTACGACATAGTTGACATAGTAAGACAGTGTAAGTGTAAGACTCACCATGGGACTGATAGATGTGGTTCAGTCTTGGCTGCCGACATTGCCAGCATTTGCTGTTCTTCCGAACTCTTCCTGCCCGGCTCAGATTTTCTATGCAAAGAATTGCCGGAAGGCAATCAGTGTTGGAGACCGGGTCTTCAACACCAGGAGAGAAGAAGTGGCCGAAGTCATTGGCTTCGACCACATGGGTGCGCATCCGTTTGTTGGAACGTGGGGGCCAGGAGCGGACGGGTTCCAAATCTTGGATTGAATCAGAAAAGATCATAAATGCAACAGTAGTTCCGAAGGTTTCATGTTCAGAGACACGTTAAAAGATGGCGCCACATATTTCCTCCCAGTGTCCTAGTCACGCATTTTTGCCACATTTATGGATGTGGTTGTGTGAAGTACATACATAACGTACATAACGTGTCTATATCCATGTATGATACTTGAAAGATACTATAGAGCCAAGATATGCCACCATTATGCCACCAGTCTTCTGTTACCTTAAAGATATGCATTTTCCTCGAAGCGTCCTGGCAGATGACCCCGTGGTGGTGAAGCCTAACCAACTCCGAAGCGCTTGGCCCCGATGCTGCTCGTCGTTGCATGAACTGATGACTTGTGGTTTGGGTGGGTTTGGTGCTTGCTGCCATCGGATGCCGTGGATAGATTTCTGGACATCAGTGGATAGTTTTGGGAGGTTCAAAGCCTTTCGAAGTTTGTGCACCGTCTCCATAGGGTGAAATCAAGTTGTGACATGTTGCTGCTACAGCATCTCAAAACCCTTGGTTGGTCAGATGGTCTATGGAAATCTTGGGAACCTTTCGCCCCTTGAACTTCATAGACACATTAGACGCTCTGTGGAAACAGTCTGTTGGGTGGTTAGATGATTTGAAAGGCCAAGAACGCCTTTGATATCGATTGCATGATGGCAGTGGCAGCCCGGCAAGCCCGGCAAGCCCGGCAAGCCCGGCAAGCCCGGCAAGCCCGGCAAGCCCGGCAAGCCCGGCAAGCCCGGCAAGCCCGGCAAGCCCGGCTGCCCTCATGAAATCCGTAGTATCTGTATGAACTTTCCCAAGTTCCCAGTGGTTTTCCCGCATGAGCGAGGTGTGATCGAACGTCTCACATCCATTGGTGACCGAGTGCACTTATGCGAGACCATGGGAACTGTGGAGGGCTTTGATGAAGATGGCAACTGGTCCAAATTCATACGATTTAGACAGCGACTGAAATGTTGCATGTGTGAAATCAGCATCATAGCGAGCCCCCAGGGAGCATGTCTCTTCCTGGGCTACCTATGGCTACCTAACTTTCAATGTAACATGCAGTTTCATGTATCCTGTGAACGTTGCAAAGCTCAGTCACAACTTCTCAAGGTGACTTCAAAGTGAAAATGTCGAATGGGCAGCCCGTCGTGTGGTATGCGCACAAATGGTGGCCCAGTGGTTGTGAAAGATTGCAGAAGTGAGATTGAAAGAGGGAGAGCAGGTAGTTGTGGCTTCTTTACGATGGATTTTGAAGGAACCAAAAGGATTGAGAAATTGTATCACCACATAACGCAATTTATCTTAAAGATTCTTAAAGTAGCTATGAGAAAGCAGTCTTCCGGGCCAGCATCTATGAAAACATGAGGCATGCCCTCAAAAGGTGTAGTGTTTATTTTGAAGAAGTGCAGTCTTCCTTTCAAACTATTCTGCCTTTCTTCTTGTGCATACAGACTTCCTGTCGAAAAGTCGCAGTATTCAATAAACATACACACACATGCAATATCCCACTTTTTTGGAAGGCACATTTTAAATTCAGAGACAACGATTTTTCGTTCACAAGTGGTGGTCTTCCTTTAGACAGGCCTTCCTTCAAGAAGCAGTATGCCTGGAAAATATGGAACATTCCCTCAAAATGGTGAAATGTTCGAAGTGGAGTCTTTCTGTCAACAAATCCAGTCTTCCTTCAATGGGTATCCCTTTAAAAGGCGAAAATCCTGCACAGTATGCGGTGTGTTTGGTTTGAACCCATAGCATTCCTGTCAAACAAATGCAATAACCAATGCACAAATGCAGTACTCCTTGGAAAAGATCATGTCAATTCCTTTATTCATTTTTTGCAAGGCAATAGCTTCTTGAAGGAAATATCTACTTAATTTCTACACATGGATATCGCATTCTTTACTCACATGTTGCATTCATCCGGAAGAGCATGTTACCTACGATACCACGCTTTCTTAACAAAAAGAGTCCTGCATACATAGAATTCTACTTTCTAGCAATGTTCATGGTCCGAAGTGCATGTTGCACCCTTTCCCATCACACTGTCCACCTTTTCGGAAGAAATAGTATACACACACACACACTTCTACCAAATTTTGCTTTAAGGAGTACCATACCCTTTCGAAAGAGTACTGCATAAACGGGTTCTACTTTTTCAACGTACCTTTCTAATAAAGTGCACTACTACATTTTTCAAACAAATTTCGCGCATGTTGAAGGTCTCGTTGCGCTCTTTTAAAGGGAACGCACAAAATGAAATCACAACCTGTTGAAGGGAATCCCACAACCTTTTGAAGGAGTCCCACGCTGTTCGGAAAATAGAAGTGCACCAGGAGGTCCAGAAGACTCTATTCCATAGTCCTAGGCAATTCTTGACGGGATTTGCAACAAATTCGAGAAAACAAGAAAACTACGAAACACCGTTTCAAAGTATCGGTCGGTATTGGCAAAGTACCGGTTGAGTACAAATTACGTACTGGTTTACAAGATAAATGCCACAGGTTTCCAGTCACAAACAAGGGTTCTATTGTAGTTCTATTTTTTTTTGCGCAAGTTTGGCCCCAGGAATTTTGCTGGGTCTTGGTGCTCAAGGCATTTGATGTATAATATAGCATATAGTACGCATGCTTTTCCCTGTATTCTCCAAGTGATGGGAAATTTGGACAAAACCTGCCCATGTTTGGCCAGTAGCTTCCATCGTTGGCAAATGCCGTGACTGGACCTGGCACTTGTGGCTGAATCATATCCCGAATCGGCGTTTCACGTTCACAATGTTTGTCATATGTTTATCATGTTTCAGCCGAGGCAAGCAAGGCATCGGTTGTTTGCCAAAGAAAAGCTTGGCAGATGAGCTTCTAGAAGAGCTTGGCATGAAGGAGCTGAAGAAACTGGGACTAACCGGACTAACCGGACTAACCGGACTAACCCAATCTCAATCACAAAGTCATCCAAATGATCGGATGCACGCAGGGTGAAGCAAGGACACACAGTGTTGGAAGTTGCAAAATAGACTGTGGAACTGGAGATGCGATGTTAGTTGGAATATGTTGGATTTCTATGGATTTCTAGTTTTGTTGGTTCTCACAGCTGTGTAGGATTCCTCAGGTGGATTCCTCAACCAGCTCTGCGTCGACTTCCCTCATGTTGGAATCAAACCAGTCACGAACATGTGCAAAAATCATTTCGGACTGAAGGGAACGGCTCTTTTTTTTTCAAACTTTTACTGTTCGATTCTGCTGCAGGAATGGTGAGTACCTGGGCCATCAGGTAGATTTTCGCAGCTCAAAAATTGGGGCAGCGGATGATACCAATGTTAGTGTGCCCGTCCCTGTTGGTGACTCAAATGGCATCTATATAATATTAAATAATTACATTAAATACACTTAATACACATATATGATTTATATTGATTTATATGATATACATATCCGGGCCGTTAGTTGGCATAACTCATGAATGTTATTTCATGATAGTGGACCTTGACTTGTTAACCTGTGGCATCGTTGATGCCTCGGCAACATGCTCTTGAGCCTCCAGCCCGCTGGGCATGATCATGGCCCTCACAGAGCACAGGTTTCACCCTTTCTCGCTGAGTTTCTCAGCGACTTGGTTGAGTCCCAGTTCCCACAGAGTGATGGCAAAGTCCTACACAGATCTGCGCAGAATGGAACTGGAGCGCGGAAAGAAATGTGCAGATGCTCAGATGCTCGTGCCGAGCCATGCCAGAAAAACACAACTAATATCACAAGCAGCGAGAACATGCGAGAACACGGATTTCACAACTAATATCACAACCTGATTTCCAGATTGTGGCCAAACCCTGCCCTGAGGCGGAGCAAGACCCGTGTCAATTAGGCATTTTTTTTTTTTGTGAAACCAAGTTTTCTACTGTACGATGGAAATTGACATTGCTTGACATGGTCCATGGCTCCACTTTTTGCTCCGTTTTCGCAGCCGTTGGTTCGTTTGAAGCACTTTCTGGCCTTTCCTTTGGTCCCCTGTGAGTGCTGCGGGACTCAGAGCCACCCGGAGTAGCCAGAAACGCAGCCAAAACACTTGGAAGTCTGAAGAGCCTCACGTTTAAATTTAAGGCACTGGTTCTCCACAACTTAGACTGGGCAGAATCATCAAGCATCATCAAGGTAATATGCAATCATTGGGACTATTTGTATCGATTTGTGGGAATCGCTTTGTTTTCTTCGATCGTGATGCTTTGAGACCTTCAAGGAGGTTACGGTTGACTCCAGAACGAACATGTTGACTGAGACGCCGCACACAAGCGAGAAGAACTGAGGTTCTGCCTGATGCAGGATTTCGTTTTCTTCCCGGACTCTCGGCTCTGCTGTGAGACTCACATTTGCCTACATTTGCCTACAGCCTGTTTTTGTCCTTCAAATGGTAGTAGTAGATCCAATCAAACAAGGGAGATTTGTTCTTGTTTCATCGACGAAGGCCGTGGCCTCTGCCTTGTTTTGGTCAGTCCAATAGATTTCTGGCCTTGTGGATTCCTTTCCTCACGACTCCCGAAGTTATTAGCTGTTTCTTGACTTGATATCCCATTCAGCATGTATTCAGACACGCATCCGTTGCCTTGCATTAGGCCTTGCTTGCCCACAAGCCATCGCCGAGGTGAAACCTGTGAAGGTTTCAGTTCCTTCCGCCCAACGCAGCTCGTAGCAGTTAGGGGGTATACGGTATATGTGTTCTGCCAATCCTTTCTGGAGACATGTTTGCATTCCTTGCTCGGTTTCTGCTTGGACTTTGGGGTGTATCTGGGGCCGTGGTTTGATTGCAGAATGTTTGGATTCCATGGCTGAGAAAGTATGCTCTTCCGCATTCCACATCAAGTTCCTGGCGTTTCTGTTTCGCATCCAAGGTGGAAAACTGATCCCAGTTCTCCTCCCCGTGATCATCTGTTTGCTTTTCATGGTATTCCTGAGGACCGGAAAGTGGATTGAGTGGATGAATGAATCTTCAGGAATCTGTTTTACTGTTCCCAACGTGTTTTCAAGGTGTTTTAGACGGAAAAGGGATGAAAAGGGGATAAAGTCAGACGAGGGCGTCGGTTTCTGAATGCTTTTGCTGAAAAGTGTGTGTTGAGTTCATTGACATCGGCCCGCAGATTTGATCTCCAGGACGTGCCGCCGACGCCGGGCTGCTCAGGGGAATGGAAGAGCGCGGGGCACGCTGCTGACGTCGTTGCGTTTGGAGCCCCAGTGGTGTTTCGGAGCCATGTGACGATTACAGTTTTTGGATGTTTTTGGGGTTGAGGTCTGAGATAGATGGATTACTAAAGATTACTTGAGATTTCTTTGCAATACTTTGCAACTATATTTGAATTACGTGGGACTCATTTATCCGGTGCATTGTCACATGTCCTCACCGCTTTTGTAAGATCCTCTTAAGATTGAGCTTCTGAGTGCAGCTGATGACCAGTGCAGCTTGCTCACTTGCCACGAGGTGTTTCGAAGCGTGCGCAAGATGGAAAGAAGGTCTGGATGACAAAAAAATCCTTGGTGCTGGAATCCTGAAGCTCCTTTTGCTGCCAGCCTGGCCTTCAACTTCCAACTCATGGCCACAGACAGGAAAAACATGGGAAACCAATGGAAACCAATGAATTACTTGAGCAGCTTTCAAACAGTAGTAGACCACGTGGAATCTGCTCATTCTAACAAGATTTGTGAGACGGTGCCAACCGTCTTGTTTGCAAGCTTTAAGTAAATTCCTTGCAAGTTCTAAAATGATCCAAATCATCTACGATGAAACATTTTCGGCAATCTTATGGCAACCAAGCAACAAGGCATTCGCCTAAAAGGTGCTGAAAGAAAGAGTGGTTGTGAGCACCACTTGCCTTTGACGCATTTGAGCCATTTTTAACGTCGTTACAGAGCCTTACAGTATGACAAATGGGTCAAGGCAGGTCTGAAACATGAACTGTGCCAGGTCGCCACAGCCGTGTTGAAGCCCATCGAGCGGGCCATGCAGCCCTGGATCGATGGCCCAAGGCGCACCCGGCGCACCCAGCGCACCCGGCGCACCCCAGCTATGCTCGATGCATGTTTCCGTGCTTCGTTGTTGGGGTTCGGCGCAGCAAGACGCTTCGGCATGTGACGGTGCTGTGATACACAGGAGCGTGGAGTACGATCTCAACATATTCACGGTGGGTGGCAGAGTGACCGATGTTTGTCGGGGACCTTAGTCTCAAAGCAGAGTGTGGCTCACATACGTACGCCCTGGCACGCCCTGGCACGCCCTGGCACGCCCTGGCACGCCCTGGCACATGCAAGTGTCGAAACTTGTGGTTTCCCAGGGTTTCATGCAGGGCATGGATTGGATTTGGTGCTTGCACTTTCTTGCATGTCGTATCGTCATGCCATGAAGTCATCCCAGGCGGAACGAAAGCGACAATCGTCGGCGTGGACGAAGACGGAGACCTTCCTGTCTTCACCGACGATGGGAAGACGATGGTTACCTGATGCAGCATGTGGCTGCAAGTTCGGGAACGGCAGTGTGGACCACGCATCCCAACCAGTCCAACATTGCAACTGCAGAAATCGGACGTCCAAACAACATCGAACTTAACTATCAACTCATTTGCAAAGTCTTCCAATGTGTTGTTGCAGATCCGTTGGATACTTTCTAGGAGCACTAGTAGAGGTTTTGCATTCTGAGTCTGTTGTCAATATGCGAATGTTATTGTAGTGACACCGAAATATCAAGCACATTGGTAGAGCATTGTGCCATTCCGCGTAGTTGTACATGTACGAGTTCCATCCAACTGCACAATTGGATTCGTTCGTAATTACGCAGTGGGGACAATGATCAGATAGTAAGACATAGTTGACATAGCAAGACAGTGTAAGTGTAAGACTCAACATGGGACTGATAGGTGTGGTTCAGTCTTGGCTGCCGACATTGCCAGCATTTGCTGTTCTTCCGAACTCTTCCTGCCCGGCTCAGATTTTCTATGCAAAGAATTGCCGGAAGGCAATCAGTGTTGGAGACCGGGTCTTCAACACCAGGAGAGAAGAAGTGGCCGAAGTCATTGGCTTCGACCACATGGGTGCGCATCCGTTTGTTGGAACGTGGGGGCCAGGAGCGGACGGGTTCCAAATCTTGGATTGAACCAGAAAAGATCATAAATGCAACAGTAGTTCCAAAGGTTTCATGTTCAGAGACACGTCAAAAGATGGCGACACATATTTCCTCCCAGTGTCCTAGTCACGCATTTTTGCCACATTTATGGATGTGGTTGTGTGAAGTACATACATAACTTACACAACATGTCTATATCCATGTATGATACTTGAAAGATACTATAGAGCCAAGATATGCCACCATTATGCCACCAGTCTTCTGTTACCTCAAAGATATGCATGTTCCTCGAAGCGTCCTGGCAGATGACCCCGTGGTGGTGAAGCCTAACCAACTCCGAAGCGCTTGGCCCCGATGCTGCTCGTCGTTGCATGAACTGATGACTTGGGGTTTGGGTGGGTTTGGTGCTTGCTGCCATCGGATGCCGTGGATAGATTTCTGGACATTTTCGAAGTTTGCGCACCGTCTCCATAGGGTGAAATCAAGTTGTGACATGTTGCTGCTACAGCATCTCAAAACCCTTGGTTGGTCAGATGGTCTATGGAAATCTTGGGAACCTTTCGCCCCTTGAACTTCATAGACACATTAGACGCTCTGTGGAAACAGTCTGTTGGGTGGTTAGATGATTTGAAAGGCCAAGAACGCCTTTGATATCGATTGCATGATGGCAGTGGCAGCCCGGCAAGCCCGGCAAGCCCGGCAAGCCCGGCAAGCCCGGCAAGCCCGGCAAGCCCGGCAAGCCCGGCAAGCCCGGCTGCCCTCATGAAATCCGTAGTATCTGTATGAACTTTCCCAAGTTCCCAGTGGTTTTCCCGCATGAGCGAGGTGTGATCGAACGTCTCACATCCATTGGTGACCGAGTGCACTTATGCGAGACCATGGGAACTGTGGAGGGCTTTGATGAAGATGGCAACTGGTCCAAATTCATACGATTTAGACAGCGACTGAAATGTTGCATGTGTGAAATCAGCATCATAGCGAGCCCCCAGGGAGCATGTCTCTTCCCGGGCTACCTATGGCTACCTAACTTTCAATGTAACATGCAGTTTCATGTATCCTGTGAACGTTGCAAAGCTCAGTCACAACTTCTCAAGGTGACTTCAAAGTGAAAATGTCAAATGGGCAGCCCGTCGTGTGGTATGCGCACAAATGCTTGGCACCCAGTGGCCCAGTGGTTGTGAAAGATTGCAGAAGTGAGATTGAAAGAGGGAGAGCAGGTAGTTGTGGCTTCTTTACGATGGATTTTGAAGGAACCAAAAGGATTGAGAAATTGTATCACCACATAACCAATTTATCTTAAAGATTCTTAAAGTAGCTATGAGAAAGCAGTCTTCCGGGCCAGCATCTATGAAAACATGAGGCATGCCCTCAAAAGGTGCAGTGTTTTATTTTGAGGAAGTGCAGTCTTCCTTTCAAACTATTCTGCCTTTCTTCTTGTGCATACAGACTTCCTGTCGAAAAGTCGCAGTATTCAATAAACATACACACACACATGCAATATCCCAATTTTTTTAAAGGAACATTTTAAATTCAGAGACAACGATTTTTCCTTCACGAGCGGTGGTCTTCCTTTAGACAGGCCTTCCTTCAAGAAGCAGTATGCCTGGAAAATATGGAACATTCCCCCAAAATGGTGAAATGTTCGAAGTGGAGTCTTTCTGTCAACAAATCCAGTCTTCCTTCAATGGGTATCCCTTTAAAAGGCGAACATCCTGCACAGTATGCGGTGTGTTTAGTTTTAACCTGTAGCATTCCTGTCAAACAAATGCAATAGCCAATGCACAATTGCAGTACTCCTTGGAAAAGATCATGTCAATTCCTTTATTCATTTTTTGCAAGGCAATAGCTTCTTGAAGGAAATATCTACTTAATTTCTACACATGGATATCGCATTCTTTACTCACATGTTGCATTCATCCGGAAGGGCATGTTACCTACGATACCACGCTTTCTTAACAAAAAGAGTCCTGCATACATAGAATTCTACTTTCTAGCAATGTTCATGGTCCGAAGTGCATGTTGCACCCTTTCCCATCACACTGTCCACCTTTTCAGAAGAAATAGTATACACACACACACACACACTTCTACCAAATTTTGCTTTAAGGAGTACCATACCCTTTCGAAAGAGTACTGCATAAACGGGTTCTACTTTTTCAACGTACCTTTCTAATAAAGTGCACTACTACCCTTTTCAAACGAAATTCGCACATGTTGAAGGTCTCTGTAAAAGCATCCCTCTCAAAGAGACGTTGCGCTCTTTTAAAGGGAACGCACAAAATGAAATCACAACCTGTTGAAGGGAATCCCACAACCTTTTGAAGGAGTCCCACGCTGTTCGGAAATAGAAGTGCACCAGGAGGTCCAGAAGACTCTATTCCATAGTCCTAGGCAATTCTTGACGAGATTTGCAACAAATTCGAGAAAACAAGAAAACTACGAAACACCGTTTCAAAGTATCGGTCGGTATTGGCAAAGTACCGGTTGAGTACAAATTACGTATTGGTTTACAAGATAAATACCCCAGGTTTCCAGTCACAAACAGAGGGTTCATTTTTTGCGCAAGTTTGGCCCCAGGAATTTTGCTGGTCTTGGTGCTCAAGGCATTTGATGTATATAGCATATAGATATATAGTACGCATGCTTTTCCCTGTATTCTCCAAGTGATGGGAAATTTGGACAAAACCTCCCCATGTTTGGCCAGTAGCTTCCATCGTTGGCAAATGCTGTGACTGGACCTGGCACTTGTGGCTGAATCATATCCCGAATCGGCGTTTCATGTTCACAATGTTTGTCATATGTTTGTCATGTTTCAGCCGAGGCAAGCAAGGCATCGGTTGTTTGCCGAAGAAAAGCTTGGCAGATGAGCTTCTAGAAGAGCTTGGCATGAAGGAGCTGAAGAAACTGGGACTAACCGGACTAACCGGACTAACCGGACTAACCGGACTAACCCAATCTCAATCACAAAGTCATCCAAATGATCGGATGCACGCAGGGTGAAGCAAGGACACACAGTGTTGGAAGTTGCAAAATAGACTGTGGAACTGGAGATGCGATGTTAGTTGGAATATGTTGGATTTCTATGGATTTCTAGTTTTGTTGGTTCTCACAGCTGTGTAGGATTCCTCAGGTGGATTCCTCAACCAGCTCTGCGTCGACTTCCCTCATGTTGGAATCAAACCAGTCACGAACATGTGCAAAAATCATTTCGGACTGAAGGGAACGGCTCTTTTTTTTTCAAACTTTTACTGTTCGATTCTGCTGCAGGAATGGTGAGTACCTGGGCCATCAGGTAGATTTTCGCAGCTCAAAAATTGGGGCAGCGGATGGTACCAATGTTAGTGTGCCCGTCCCTGTTGGTGACTCAAATGGTATCTATAACATTATATACACTTAATACACATAATTATATGATTTATATTGATTTATATTGATTTATATGATATACATATCCGGGCCGTTAGTTGGCATAATTCATGAATGTTACTTCATGGTAGTGGACCTTGACTTGTTAACCTGTGACATCGGTGATGCCTCGGCAACATGTTCTTGAGCCTCCAGCCCGTTGGGCATGATGCTGGCCCTCACAGAGCACAGGTTTCACCCTTTCTCGCTGAGTTTCTCAGCGACTTGGTTGAGTCCCAGTTCCCACAGAGTGACGGCAAAGTCCTACACAGATCTGCGCAGAATGGAACTGGAGCGCGGAAAGAAATGTGCAGATGCTCGTGCCGAGCCACGCCAGAAAAACACAACTAATATCACAAGCAGCGAGAACACGGAGGTTGATTTCACCTGATTTCCAGATTGTGGCCAAACCCTGCCCTGAGGCGGAGCAAAACCCGTGTCAATTAGGCATTTTTTTTTTGTGAAGCCAAGTTTTCTACTGTACGATGGAAATTGACATTGCTTGACATGGTCCATGGCTCCACTTTTTGCTCCGTTTTCGCAGCCGTTGGTTCGTTTGAAGCACTTTCTGGCCTTTCTTTTGGTCCCCTGTGAGTGCTGCGGGACTCAGAGCCACCCGGAGTAGCCAGAAACGCAGCCAAAACACTTGGAAGTCTGAAGAGCCTCACGTTGAAATTTAACGCACTGGTTCTCCACAACTTAGACTGGGCAGAATCATCAAGCATCATCAAGGTAATATGCAATCATTGGGACTATTTGTATCGATTTGTGGGAATCGCTTTGTTTTCTTCGATCGTGATGCTTTGAGACCTTCAAGGAGGTTACGGTTGACTCCAGGACGAACATGTTGACTGAGACGCCGCACACAAGCGAGAAGAACTGAGGTTCTGCCTGATGCAGGATTTCGTTTTCTTCCCGGACTCTCGGCTCTGCTGTGAGACTCACATTTGCCTACATTTGCCTACAGCCTGTTTTTGTCCTTCAAATGGTAGTAGTAGATCCAATCAAACAAGGGAGATTTGTTCTTATTGTTTCATCGACGAAGGCCGTGGCCTCTGCCTTGTTTTGGTCAGTCCAATAGATTTCTGGCCTTGTGGATTCCTTTCCTCACGACTCCCGAAGTTATTAGCTGTTTCTTGACTTGATATCCCATTCAGCATGTATTCAGACACGCATCAGTTGCCTTGCATTCGGCCTTGCTTGCCCACAAGCCATCGCTGAAGTGAAACCTGTGAAGGTTTCAGTTCCTTCCGCCCAACGCAGCTCGTAGCAGTTAGGGGGTATACGGTATATGTGTTCTGCCAATCCTTTCTGGAGACATGTTTGCATTCCTTGCTCGGTTTCTGCTTGGACTTTGGGGTGTATCTGGGGCCGTGGTTTGATTGCAGAATGTTTGGATTCCATGGCTGAGAAAGTATGCTCTTCCGCATTCCACATCAAGTTCCTGGCATTTCTGTTTCGCATCCAAGGTGGAGAACTGATCCCAGTTCTCCTCCCCGTGATCATCTGTTTGCTTTTCATGGTATTCCTGAGGACCGGAAAGTGGATTGAGTGGATGAATGAATCTTCAGGAATCTGTTTTACTGTTCCCAACGTGTTTTCAAGATGTTTTAGACGGAAAAGGGATGAAAAGGGGATAAAGTCAGACGAGGGCGTCGGTTTCTGAATGCTTTTGCTGAAAAGTGTGTGTTGAGTTGATTGACATCGGCCCGCAGATTTGATCTCCAGGACGTGCCGCCGACGCCGGGCTGCTCAGGGGAATGGAAGAGCGCGGGGCACGCTGCTGACGTCGTTGCGTTTGGAGCCCCAGTGGTGTTTCGGAGCCATGTGACGATTACAGTTTTTGGATGTTTTTGGGGTTGAGGTCTGAGATAGATGGATTACTAAAGATTACTTGAGATTTCTTTGCAATACTTTGCAACTATATTTGAATTACGTGGGACTCATTTATCCGGTGCATTGTCACATGTCCTCACCGCTTTTGTAAGATCCTCTTAAGATTGAGCTTCTGAGTGCAGCTGATGACCAGTGCAGCTTGCTCACTTGCCACGAGGTGTTTCGAAGCGTGAAGCGCAAGATGGAAAGAAGGTCTGGATGACAAAAAAATCCTTGGTGCTGAATCCTGAAGCTTGGCAATGCACACCTGAGTCCTAGACGGGTAATAAAAAGAACATCCTAGGTCTGTGCTGCACTCCTTTTGCTGCCAGCCTGGCCTTCAACTTCCAACTCATGGCCACAGACAGGAAAAACATGGGAAACCAATGGAAACCAATGAATTACTTGAGCAGCTTTCAAACAGTAGTAGACCACGTGGAATCTGCTCATTCTAAGAAGATTTGTGAGACCCAAAGCATCTACGATGAGACATTTTTGGCAATATATTTGGGCAACCCGGAAAGAACGCAGTTGATTGAAAGGTGCTGAAAATGGAAAGGGTGGCATTTGAGCCATTTTTAACGTCCTTACAATACGACTCCAAATGGGCCAAGGCATGTCTGAAACATGAACTGTGCCAGGTCGCCAAAGAGTTGAAACCATTTGAAGCCTGTCGAGCGGGCTGGATCGATGGACCAAGGCCCACCTGGCGCACCCGGCGCACCTGACTATGCTCAATGCATATTTTTCGGTGCTTCGTTGTTGGGTTCGGCGCAGCAAGACACTTCGGCATGTGACGCTGTGATACACAGGAGCGTGGAGTATGACTGAATAGGTCATAATCATACTCCACGCTCCTGTGTATCACAGCACCGTGGGTGGGAGAATCCCGGATGTTTGTCAGGGACCTCAGTCTCAAAGCAGAGTGTGGCTCACACACGCCCTGGCACATCCTAGCACATGCAAGTGTCGGAACTTCTCATGCAGGACATGGATTGGATTTGGTGCTTGCAGTTTCTTGCATGTCGTATCGTCATGCCATGAAGTCATCCCGGCGGAACGAAAGCGACAATTGTTGGTGTGGACGAAGACGGAGACCTTCCGGTCTTCACCGACGATGGGAAGACGATGGCTACCTGATGCAGCATGTGGCTGCAAGTTCGGGAACGACAGTGTAGACTACGCATCCCAACCAGTCCAACATTGCAACTGCAGAAATCGGATGTCCAACAACACCGAACAACTCATTTGCGAAGTCTTCCAATGTGTTGTTACAGATCCGTTGGATACTTTCTAGGAGCACTAGTAGAGGTTTTGCATTCTGAGTCTGTTACTGTAGTGACTATTAGTGGCACAAAAATATCAAGCACCATCGGGCAGAGGAATGCTGGGGTCAAGCGTGGTTGTGGTGATATTGGCTGGTGGATGCCTGAGATCTTGGAGTTGTTTTCACACCATGCGGCGCGGCTGTCAGAAGTTCTTCAGGTTTGGCATGGGGTCTATGCATGATTGTGAGTGGGAATTGTCGAAGGGGAACACATTGAACACACTGCGAATAAATGTGCAGGGTACTCGTCAGCTTTGATCAGATAGTAAGACATAGTTGACATAGCAAGACAGTGTAAGATTCAACGTGGACTGATACGTGTGGATCAGTCTTGGCTGCCGACATTGCCAGCATTTGCTGTTCTTCCGAACTCTTCCTGCCCGGCGCAGATTTTCTACGCGAAGAATATATAGTTCTTGGCGTAGAAGATCTGAGCCGGGCAGGAAGGCTCTCAGTGTTGGAGACCGGATAATATGGTCGAAGCCAATGACTTCCGCATCCGTTTGCTGGAACGTGGGGGCCAGGAGCGGACGGGTTCCAAATCTTGGATTAAATCGGAAAAGATCATACATGCAACAAGAGTTCCAATAGTTCCAAAGGTTTCATGTTCAGAGACACGTCAAAAGATGGTGACACATATTTCCTCCCAGTGTCCTAGTCCCACATGTTTGCCACATTTATGGATGTGGTAGTATAAAGATGTATAAAGTACATACCAGTACATAAATATGCCAATATGATCCAATATGCATAACGTATCTATGTCCCTATATGATACTTGAAACATAGAGCCAAGATGTGCCACCAGTCTTCTGTTACCTCCAAGATATGCATTTTCTTCGAAGCGTCCTGGCAGATGACCCGGTGGTGGTGAAGCCTAACCAACTCCGAAGCGCTTGGCCCCGATGCTGCTCGTCGTTGCATGAACTGATGACTTGGGGTTTGGGTGGGTTTGGTGCTTGCTGCCATCGGATGCCGTGGATAGATTTCTGGACATCAGTGGATAGTTTTGGGAGGTTCAAAACCTTTCGAAGTTTGTGCACCGTCTCCATAGGGTGAAATCAAGTTGTGACATGTTGTGACAGCATCTCCAAACCCTTGGTCAGATGGTCTATGGAAATCTTGGGAACCTTTCGCCCCTTGAACTTCATAGACACATTAGACGCTCTGTGGAAACAGTCTGTTGGGTGGTTAGATGATTTGAAAGGCCAAGAACGCCTTTGATATCGATTGCATGATGGCAGTGGCAAGCCCGGCAAGCCCGGCAAGCCCGGCAAGCCCGGCAAGCCCGGCAAGCCCGGCTGCCCTCATGAAATCCGTAGAATCTGTATGAACTTTCCCAAGTTCCCAGTGGTTTTCCCGCATGAGCGAGGTGTGATCGAACGTCTCACATCCATTGGTGACCGAGTGCACTTATGCGAGACCATGGGAACTGTGGAGGGCTTTGATGAAGATGGCAACTTGTCCAAATTCATACGATTTAGACAGCGACTGAAATGTTGCATGTGTGAAATCAGCATCATAGCGAGCCCCCAGGGAGCATGTCTCTTCCCGGGCTACCTATGGCTACCTAACTTTCAATGTAACATGCAGTTTCATGTATCCTGTGAACGTTGCAAAGCTCAGTCACAACTTCTCAAGGTGACTTCAAAGTGAAAATGTCAAATGGGCAGCCCGTCGTGTGGTATGCGCACAAATGCTTGGCACCCAGTGGCCCAGTGGTTGTGAAAGATTGCAGAAGTGAGATTGAAAGAGGGAGAGCAGGTAGTTGTGGCTTCTTTACGATGGATTTTGAAGGAACCAAAAGGATTGAGAAATTGTTTCACCACATAACGCAATTTATCTTAAAGATTCGTAAAGTAGCTATGAGAAAGCAGTCTTCCGGGCCAGCATCTATGAAAACATGAGGCATGCCCTCAAAAGGTGCAGTGTTTTATTTTGAGGAAGTGCAGTCTTCCTTTCAAACTATTCTGCCTTTCTTGTGCATACAGACTTCCTGTTGAAAAATCGCAGTATTCAATAAACATACACACACACATGAAATATTCCACTTTTTTTAAAGGAACATTTTAAATTCAGAGACAGCGATTTTTCCTTCACGAGCGGTGGTCTTCCTTTGAGACAGGCCTTCCTTCAAGAAGCAGTATGCCTGGAAAATAGGGAGATATATGGAGCATTCCCCCAAAACGGTGAAATGTTCGAAGTGGAGTCTTTCTGTCAACAAATCCAGTCTTCCTTCAATGGGTATCCCTTTAAAAGGCGAAAATCCTGCACAGTATGCGGTGTGTTTGGTTTTAACCCATAGCATTCCTGTCAAACAAATGCAATAACCAATGCACAAATGCAGTACTCCTTGGAAAAGATCATGTCAATTCCTTTATTCATTTTTTGCAAGGCAATAGCTTCTTGAAGGAAATATCTACTTAATTTCTACACATGGATATCGCATTCTTTACTCACATGTTGCATTCATCCGGAAGGGCATGTTACCTACGATACCTTTCTTAACAAAAAGAGTCCTGCATACATAGAATTCTACTTTCTGACAATGTTCATGGTCCGAAGTGCATGTTGCACTCTTTCCCATCACATTGTTCACCTTTTCGGAAGAAATAGTACACACACACACTTCTACCAAATTTTGCTTTAAGGAGTACCATACCCTTTCGAAAGAGTACTGCATAAACGGGTTCTACTTTTTCAACGTACCTTTCTAATAAAGTGCACTACTACATTTTTCAAACGAAGTTCGCGCATGTTGAAGGTCTCTGTAAACGCATCCCTCTCAAAGAGACGTTGCGCTCTTTAAAAGGGAACGCACAAAATGAAATCACAACCTGTTGAAAGGAATCCCGCAACCTGTTGAAGGAGTCCCACGTTGTTCGGAAAATAGAAGTGCACCAGGAGGTCCAGAAGACTCTATTCCATAGTCCTAGGCAATTCTTGACGAGATTTGCAACAAATTCGAGAAAACAAGAAAACTACGAAACACCGTTTCAAAGTATCGGTCGGTATTGGTAAAGTACGGGTTGAGTACAAATTACGTACTGGTTTACAAGATAAATACCCCAGGTTTCCAGTCACAAACAGAGGGTTCATTTTTTGTGCAAGTTTGGCCCCAGGAATTTTGCTGGGTCTTGGTGCTCAAGGCATTTGATGTATATAGCATATAGATATATAGTACGCATGCTTTTCCCTGTATTCTCCAAGTGTTGGGAAATTTGGACAAAACCTCCCCATGTTTGGCCAGAAGCTTCCATCGTTGGCAAATGCTGTGACTGGACCTGGCACTTGTGGCTGAATCATATCCCGAATCGGCGTTTCACGTTCCGAGGCAAGCAAGGCATCGGTTGTTTGCCAAAGAAAAGCTTGGCAGATGAGCTTCTAGAAGAGCTTGGCATGAAGGAGCTGAAGAAACTGACTAACCGGACTAACCGGACTAACCGGACTAACCCAATCTCAATCACAAAGTCATCCAAATGATCGGATGCACGCAGGGTGAAGCAAGGACACACAGTGTTGGAAGTTGCAAAATAGACTGTGGAACTGGAGATGCGATGTTAGTTGGAATATGTTGGATTTCTATGGATTTCTAGTTTTGTTGGTTCTCACAGCTGTGTAGGATTCCTCAGGTGGATTCCTCAACCAGCTCTGCGTCGACTTCCCTCTGAAGAGAATGACAGTTTGAACATGTTGGAATCAAACCAGTCACGAACATGTGCAAAATCATTTCGGACTGAAGGGAACGGCTCTTTTTTTTTCAAACTTTTACTGTTCGATTCTGTTGCAGGAATGGCAGTGAGTACCTTGGCCATCAGGTAGATTTTCGCAGCTCAAAAATGGGGCAGCAGATGATGCCAATGCTAGTGTGCCCGTCCCTGTTGGTGACTCAAATGGCATCTATGTAATATTAAATAATATTAAATACACTTAATACACATATCACATATATGATTTATATTGATTAATATGATATACATATCCGGGCCGTGTGTTAGCACAACTCATGAATGTTACTTCATGGTAGTGGACCTTGACTTGTTAACCTGTGACATCGTTGATACCTCGGCAACATGTTCTTGAGCCTCCAGCCCATTGGGCGTGATCATGGCCCTCACAGAGCACAGGTTTCACCCTTTCTCGCTGAGTTTCTCAGCGACTTGGTTGAGTCCCAGTTCCCACAGAGTGACGGCAAAGTCCTACACAGATCTGCGCAGAATGGAACTGGAGCGCGGAAAGAAATGTGCAGATGCTCGTGCCGAGCCACGCCAGAAAAACACAACTAATATCACAAGCAGCGGGTGATATTGGCTGGTGGATGCACATTGGAAACGATGTGTGGATGCCTGAGATCTTGGAGTTTTCACACCATGCGGCGCGGTTGTCAGAAGTTCTTCAGATTTGGCATGGGGTCTATGCATGATTGTGAGTGGGAATTGTCGAAGGGGAACACATTGAACACAGTGCGAATAAATGTGCAGGGTACTCATGCTCCTCCACACTAACAAACTGCCAGTGTTTTCGTTTTGCCTTCGCAGGGTTCATAAAAGCCTTCGCTTGCCCACTTAAAGATTTTCACCCCGCCTCAGGATTGAGCATGAGTTGCTTTGTTCGCTTCTTTTCTGTTGCGTGGCATGCCATCAAGCACCAAGCGAAGTGGTCAGCAAAAACAAGGTACCAAGGACTTATCAGCCTTGACTGCTGGTGGAAAAGTTTGCCTTCTTGGGCCAAGCTGACCAAACAGGTTCTGCGTGCAGGCCAAGCAAATATTCGCGCCGTACTTGTACTGATTTGCAGGCAAAATATCCCGTAGCCAAGGTGTAGCGCCCCAGCCCGCAAGCATTGACTTTCCGCGATAATTTGGAGTGATTTTGCACCGTTAATGCATATGGTGTGCGGGATCTCTTTTTTAATTTCCTGTTTTGTACAACCAGCAGTACTTGACTTGACCCACTTAACTTTTTGCAATACTTCGGACCTCAAAATGACATCAACTTTTTGTCAGAGCGAAAGCAGTTGGTATCGTTTCCATCGCACATCATGGTGTTGTGATGCTCTGCACAATCTGCGCTTGGCATGTTACGCTCTCCGGGAAGTCCAGAGCCAAAGTTCATCAGCTAGGACAACCAAGGCCGACAGGTGGGAATTTGTCCACAGAAAACATACAGATGATGGCAACATGCAGTGGCAAACGCACTGTCTGTGATTGTTGAACTTCATTGCCACACCTCCGGTCGAGCCATGCGCATTGCCAGGCATCTTGCCCTGCAGTCAAAACAAGTTTGTCATATCATATCGAAGCATTACCCTACGTAATGCACTTTAGATGTCCTGATCTATTGAAGTACATATTGATTCTATTGGATTCTATTGATGTATTTTATCATGATTCCCCGCATGTTGGATGTCAGGGCTCCAACGAAGCTCCAGACGGAGCGCTTTGGCACCAGCATCTCAGTGCTACCGACGCCACGGACTGTGCGGCGCGCTATGATGGGGTAGGGGACCTTGCCATAACTTTTTTCACCATGGATGACAGATGATAGCAGTCTACTGGTATCTAGATGTATTAATTATGATGCATCTAGTGGATTTTATTAGCTCTTCATGGAGACAGCCCACTTTTTACTCAGTCTTTTTTATCTCAAGCTTAAAGGGTCGTTTGAAGTGTCTCGAGGGACGGGTGATCGCTCTGGAACACAAATCTGAGCAGGCCACGGGCTGCTGATTCGAACGACTCCGGCAGTGTTTGGCAGGCCTTCTGAGCATGAAGAGCCTGGCTTGTTGTTCCACTGCCATACAGCTTGACTTGATCAGACTAATTTTTTAATATTTTTAAGAGGTTTACAATGTAGCTTGAGCTTTGTTAGGGATCTATGCTACCACATGTCACCCCATGATGCAGTCAGGCGTACGTTCAAAGGAATCAGTTCCAACCAGCGTACACCAATGCCAATAGTCATGACGACCAGGTGCCAATCACAGCTGCCAAGGTGGTGTTTCGGCAAGTTGAGCCAATTGATCCAGCTCGGCATCGCTCCAAGCTGCAGGGGGTTGTGAAGCTATCCTGGAGATCTCATGCCAGTGGTTGCACGCCATGCCCGTTTTGAATGGAGAATCTGAGTGGCACTTCATTGCTCCTCCTTTGACAGTAAAAAGCGCATTTTTGTATGACTTTATCGGTTTTTCTGCAATGTAAATCGGTTTTGTTTGCTTGGAACTGTTTGTCAAGCTGTTCAAACTGCTTTGGTAAAACATGGCTGTTGAGCAATAGTACAGCACTTCCACAATCGAGCCAAGCTTTGATTTTTCCAAAGATTATACAGTATATTTGCCGAACATCTACAGTATGTACGTTAGTTGAATGATGGTTGCACATTAATTATCGTGGGATTGATCCCAGTCCCAGCTGGAGTAAATCGAGGCCATTCTTGCCAGTCTGCGAAGATCTGTCCCAGCAGGCAGAGCTGGGGAAGGGCTTGACGAAAGCCAACCCTGTCTTTCCTATACTTGAATGATGCTGCGTGTGTGTAGGATCATATAGGTATATTATGGTATAATGCAGGTATATATGGCACCTCACAAACCTACCCAGGCACACATATGATATCCCGTAATCCCAGGCACACGTGTAAATGTACATACATTCATAAAATCTAATGAGTCCAATGTTTGAAATAGATGGGAGTTGATCTCAAAGTCCTTCTAAAGGACCCATCCAAGAAATACTTGACGTATGGCAGTCTATCTACCACCTTACAGTTATTTAATTTATTTCAATTCGATTTTTGATTTGGCACTTTGCCAATCATTCCCCAGGCTTCCCCGGCCATCAGATTTGGGACCTCCTATGGACGAGGCATCATCACCACGACGCCATACACAAGATGCAGCAGTCCATGCCCTCAGATCCACGCGGGAGGAGGACAATAGGGAAGAAAAACACCTGCGGGACTTGCGAACTGGTTGGCGATGATCAGGATGACGGCGGTGATCGTGATGATGATGATGATGAAGAAGAAGGAGGAAGAAGAAGAAGAAGAAGGAAGGAGAAGAAGAAGAAGGAAGAAGAAGAAGGAAGAAGAAGAAAAAGAAGACGAAGAAGAAGACGAAGAAGAAGAAGAAGAAGAAGAAAAAGAATAAGGAAGAAGAAGAAGAAGGAAGAATAAAAAGAAGAATGAAGAAGAAGAAGAAGGAAGAAGAAGAAGAAGACGAAGAAGAAGAAGAAGGAAGAAGAAGAAGAAGAAGAAGAAGAAGGAAGAAGAAAAAGAAGAAGAAGAAGAAGAAAAAGAAGAAGAAGAAGAAAAAGAAAGAAGAATAAGAAGAAGAAGGAAGAAGAAGAAGAATAAGAAGAAGAAGAAGAATAAGAAGAAAAAAGAAGAAGAAGAAACATAAGAAAGAAGAAGAAGAAGAAGGAAGAAGAAGAAGGAAGAAGAAGAAGGAAGAAGAACAAGAAGAATGAAGAAGAAGAAGAAGGAAGAAGAAGAAGAAGAAAGAAGAAGAAGAAGGAAGAAGAAGAACATGAAGAAGAAGAAGAAGAAGAAGAAGAAGGAAGAATAAGAAGAATAAGAAGAAGAAGAAGAAGCAGAAGAAGAAGAAGGAAGAACAATAAGAAGAAGAAGAAGAAGAAGAAAAAATAAGAAGAATAAAAATAATATGAAAGAAGAAGAAGAAGGAAGAGGAAGAAGAAGACAAACAAGAAGAAGAAAAAGAAGAAGAAGAAAGAAGAAGAAGAAGAAGAAAAAGACTACGGTGACACGAAGCAGTCGGGGCTGGTTTTGGAGTTCACAGTATTCACCGTAGTATCAGCCCTTCTTGCGGCTTTATTGATGTCTTCCGAGGTTGGGATTTTGCCACAAGGACTTGGGCTTTGGCCCCCAGGTGGGCCCAGAGACAAAAGGGATCGTTTGGGACGCTCGGAAGAATTTGTGACCTGCTCCATTTTCTGATGAGCAAACCTGGATCAAAGTACCCACAACTAGCCCTGGCCTTCAAAATTTGGTGGCAAAATTCAAGTTGGATGTTGAAAGCGAACGACCCACGGGATGCTTGGAAGATCAGCTCATCACCAACAGAGGCATGCGCCGTTTGCCGCGGCCCTGGGAGCCTGGCTCTGGAGAGATTTGTGGAGACCCAGGCTGATGGGTGGGAGATTCAAATTTTAAATAAAGGGGCTCCGCCTGGAACCAATGAGACACTCAAACAGCGTGGCAGTGAAGGAAGGAACAGGCCTCCTGGCAACGGCCTGTAGTGCCTAACGTCGCTTTCTGCAGCTACAAGAAACTAGCTGTCTTTTTGCTCTTGCTGCCGCTTTCTCCTGCCTTCTTGCTTTTGTCTTGCCTTCTTGCTCTTGCTGCCCGGTGCTGGACAACCCGCCGCCAAGCCTCGAAATGCCAGGTGCCAAGGGTCGAAAAGAGCGGATTCGCTACACTCAAACAGCGGGGGTACGTCTCAACTAAGCAGAACCCTGCCGACAGGCCCGGTCGGAGGCCTTTCCTGAACAACGAATCCAAATCGTCCAGCTGCCAAGGCTCGAAAAGAGCAGCTTCGCCACTCTCAAACGGCGTGGCAGTAAAGGATGGAACGGGCCTCCGGGCAACGGCCTGTAGTGCCTAACGTCGCTTTCTGCAGCTACAAGAAACTAGCTGTCTTTTTGCTCTTGCCGCCGCTTTCTCCTGCCTTCTTGCTTTTGTTTCTCGCCTTCTTGCTCTTGCTGCCTGACTGCCTGATCCGCCAAGCCTCGAAACGTCCAGCTGCCAAAGCACGAAAGAGCGGTTCGCCACACTCAAACAGCATGGCAGTGAAGGCCTCCGGGCAACGGCCTGTAGTGCCTAACGTCGCTTTCTGCCCCTACAAGAAAGTAGCGGTCTTTTTGCTCTTGCTGCCGCTTTCTCCTGCCTTCTTGCTTTTGTTTCTCGCCTTCTTGCTCTTGCTGCCTGACTGCCTGATCCGCCAAGCCTCGAAACGTCCAGCTGCCAAGGCTCGAAAAGAGCGGTTCGCCACACTCAAACAGCATGGCAGTGAAGGATGGAACGGGCCTCCAGGCAACGGCCTGTAGTGCCTAACGTCGCTTTCTGCCCCTACAAGAAAGTAGCAGTCTTTTTGCTCTCCGCTTTCTCCTGCCTTCTTGCTTTTGTTTCTCGCCTTCTTGCTCTTAAGCCAGTGCCAGGGCATTTGGGTATTTCATTTGCATTTGGTGCTTTCACTATGGCCCTGGCATGCCAAAAGCTCCTATTATTACGGTGCTACTTAAGGCCATCAGGAAGTTATCAGCCATATGGAAAGTTCCAGCCGAGATGCCCTTGCAAATACCAGACAGGGTCTTCATTTCAAGTGGTGCAAGTATTTAATGCCATCAGAGGTTAAAGTGACGTATGGAAAGCTCTATGCAAGGATTCTGCAAAAGATCTCTACAATGGATTTGCTCTATGCAAGGACTCTGGTTAAAAAAAACCTCTACCATGGATTGGATGGTTAGATGGCAAGCTTTGTGCAAGGACCATTTCTACCATGGATGGTAAGCTCTATGCAAGGACTCTGCAAAAGATCTCTACAATGGATTTGCTCTATGCAAGTCACGCCAGTTCTGCAAGAGGTGCTCCGCGTAATGCCATCAGAGGTTATCAGCCGTATGGAAAGTCCTAGCCAAGATGCCCTTGACTTGCCATCAAGGTGCAGTTATCATTTTTTTTTACTAAGGTTGACTACTACCATTTAGACATTAAATATCTTGAGCCTATAGGAACATTATATATTATATATAATTATATATTATTATATAATTATATATTATATATTATATATTATATATTATATATTAGTTCTGCCTCATGATTTCTGTCACCTGTCACCTGTCATATAGCCTCGTGATTTCAATCTCTGTCACCTGTCAAGTATCCGTTCCCTGTCCCCTGAGCTGTCAATTTCCCGTAGACGATTTTTTTCGTTTTCGCAGAAGACTGTGACAGAAGACTGTGACACCCAAGGTTTGCACCTGAGAACAAGCAAGGCGCAAAAAAATCCACTAGACAGGAGACAGTTAGCTGAGAAGAAGACTGTCAGATGTAGCCCGAAACCTGCGCAAGAAAATGGTTCATCATCGAAGAAACAAAAAACAACATGACACTAGGAGCTGTGAGGTTTACAGCAACTTTATTTCCAACTAGGAGCTCCAAGAAAATGCTGCTGCAGCTTTACACTTTGTTTCCAGCAACTCACTGCAAGTCTTGCTCCACTTCAATGCCATTCTCTCGCATGACGACACATTCTGCATCATCTTCGACATCTGCTGCATCATGATGTGAACCATCTGTTTGAACAATGCGGATTGGTCGCGGAGCGGTCTGCCGAAAAGGGTTCAGGGTGACAGGGACAGGTGACTGTGACTGATATGCACTTTGCTGCAAAAATGAATACTGCGCAGGATGCGGTTCTCGTCTCAATGTCCCAGTGATCCATCCAGTCAAGAAGGCGTGGGCCTTCTGGCTGATAGCTTGCCTCAGTCAACTGTCAGTTCTCTCTAAAAAAATCTGTCAACTGTCAACTGTCAACTGTCAGTTATTCTTTTTGTGACAAAGAAAAAAAACTGGACAAAACAAGTTCAAGATGCTTTGCAAATGCAGCATCTGCCTTCACTTTCACTTCATTGCGAATCTTCCAAGCTACATGCCTCCGAGGGTGCTCTCCAGAAGGCTGCCATGTGAGCCGTGAAATAAGCCCTGGCAAGGACTCTGCTCGGATTGCCACCTCTGCTTGAAAGGGCTTTGGTGAAGACTCAAACATATGACATAACAGCAGAATGTCTTCTGGATGGCCTGGGGCAAATTCATATTGAAGGCTGTCTAAGTCTTTCATTGACAGCATTTTTCGCTTCAAGATCCTGAAGAGGTGTGGAGCCTTGGGGCCTGTCAGGCCAGTCAGGGTGACTGGTATCTCTTCCAGCCACTTGTCCCACTCTGGGCCTGAATCGTGCTTCCATGCTTTCCGGAAGTAGCAAGATGTTTCCAATGAAGCATCATCCAAAAAACGTTGATAAACCTCGACCAATTCCTGGGCCGTCTCAAAAGTTTCATGACTGCATCTTGTCACTGCCTGGCCACCCACTGCGTCCAAGCATGTGTGGGTGTGGCCTTTTATCGGGAAACCGATATTGCAAGTGTCAATGACACCCAGTGCAGTCAATTTCAACCAGAAGCGAAGCATCTTTGAGTTTTTGTTGTCCCGAGCGGTGTTGTCTAACAACAGAAATACCTGTCGGGGTATCCCTGTGATGTCATGCACCCAAGACAAACACCTCGCCAGTGCATCCACATGGTTGCAGGTGTCTTTGCAAACATCGGGGTCTCCCACTGACAGGCTGAAGCCATGACCATGAACCCAAATAAGTTGTACATGGCAAGCTGGGCGAATAACTTCATCAAACGTTTTGGACTTGACATGAGCCCTGGGAACTTTATGTTTGGCTTGGTCCAAGCCGTCTGACCTGATGACAAGGACAGATGACGGATGACTTCGAACATTGGATGAGACACTCAATGCTCTTGTTTCAAAAGCCAATGCTGTCCATGCACTGTCAGCAGCTCTGTCACGCCAGTTCTGCAAGAGGTGCTCCGCGTATTCCTGGATGAGTCTGTTCCGCAAATGAAGGGCCTTCACCCTTTTCAGCTCACGTTTGAACCAAGTGCATTGGTCACAAACTGCATGTTGCCCTGAAGATTTTCGAAAAGCCAAAAATTGTTTGGATCCTTGAAGCGCACGTCGGAAAGTGGTAAAAGATGGTGCTTTCTTTCCGGCATAATTCTCCTTGTGCCACCGTAACATCATCTCAAACAAGATCTGGGGCTTCACCACGCCAAGCCATCTGCGCGGGGCTGCTCCAGCTCCTGGGCCTGTCAGTGAATTGTTGAAAGGGGTGTCTGTGAGTAGCTGCCTGAGAGACAAAGTTGCCAGCTTCCGTGCATCCTGCTCATCCCATTG